ATCACCTGTTGGCGGGTGAGGATCGACTGGTTGCTCCACGAGCGGAAGGCCTTCTTGTTTGATTCGAGAGCCGTCTGCATCTCCGCCTGAGTGGCCTTAGGCACACGGGTCACCACCTGGTTAGTGGCCGGGTCGTGCACATCGATCCACTCGGTCGTCTTGGACTCCACGAACTTGCCGTCGATGAACAGCTTAGTGGTGGGAGCGGCCGAGGAGTAGGACCTCTTGGCCAAATGGCGGGCCTGGGGACGAAAGAGGGGAACATGTTGATAAGGGATAACTCTCTGAAGACTTTACAAATTCCATCTTTTAAAAATCATAACTCATCAAAAAAAAATATAATATAAAGTTATATTTCAAAGTAGTATAGTAGCTTTCGTCACTATTGTCGAACAACAAACCATTTCATACTCGAATGCCCCTAATGCGTTTAATTTCTTGCACTTGACATTGATTTGCCTTGCAAATTGGCAAGTGCCCGGAATCCTAACCTCAACGATAATTCCGTATTTTGTGGGCTGAGGTGGTTTATTTTTTGGATGTTGATAACCCTCGAGAGGCGGCCACGCGGGGTGCGCCACGCCCACGGTTATCAGTGTCCATCTGGCGACATGAGTTTATGGCTCGCCTCTCGTGGAATTATTTCGCTTATCGCGTTTTATTAGATTTTACGCCAGTTCAAACATTATACCCCTAATCCCCCGCGACATTTGTTTTTGTTTTCGCTTTATTTGCTTTGAATTCTGCTTCTACTTATTCTTCTGTTCGTAGCGGAACATTACGTAACATGTGTTGTTGTCAATTGGAGATTTCTCACCCACACTTGTAGAACATTACATTTTTATTGAGTAAGGTGAGAGTGAGATGGGCTGATAAAATGCACTTTTTCATGCGTTTTACATGTGTGTTGTCAATTGGTCAATTCACGGCCACTTGACCATTTCCTTAAGCAAAGTGAGAGTGAGATTTCCGAAGCACTTAAAAATCTCTTCTATTAAATTCACTAAAGTAAGAGTGAATGGGCATATCTTATGTAGTTTTACACGAAGCAACCACGCAAAACACAATAAAAACTCACCTCAGCGCCGATCAAACGCACTAGGGACATCTTGGGGATATTTAGCTGAGACTTTGGGGCGGGGATCGCGTGCTCTCCAAACGGTGGTTTCACTAGAACTGAACGCAGCCGCCGATTTCGATGCCAATGTGGGGGCCTGTGAATTACTTCTACTATATAGTGGTGTGGTGGTGTGATTGTTGATATACGAGTCAAAAAACTGGATGGGCGGTACGAGAACAGAGGCGAAGACCACGTCAAAAAGTGCTTAACGATAGCAAATGTCCATAGCCCCATACTCACTCACACACCTTTAAGAACCTGGCGCAGCAGCTGTTGTTCTTGGTATGCTCCTATTGTTATTGTTGTTATCAGTATTGTTGTTGCTATTCGTTGGGGGCTCGCTGTGAACTTGTGTGTGAGCGTGAGTTTGTTTTGCGATGTTTGTCTTTCCATTTAATTTCCTGTTGGAAAGGCATATTGGCTGGTAATGAAAGTTTAGTAAATAAATACAAAAAATAATTAATATAACAATTTTTAATTCTCCAAAATAGTATAAAAAACTACTGTGATTAAATTTTAAAAATTCAATAATGTATAATGTAATTACTCAAGACATTTTACCCTTGTACTTTAAAATGTTTACCAATAGTCACTCGAATCAATAGATGCTATGAACAATTATTTTTAATTAGGCATTTTTATACAAGTACTTAAATTATTTATGGAAACCTGTATAAAAGAGCATCAAATTGTCGGTGCTCGGCAAACAAATCTTTTATTGGGTATTTATAAACACCCGCGGAGATACAAATCCAATGTAGTGGTATTTGTGTATTTTTCCATTAACGTAGATATGCACATACATCTGTATGTATTTATATGGTAGGGCACGTGTCAACCGGCTTCTGTTCATAAGTAACTAAAACTAAATCTAATTAAATAGTTATAGTGCTAACTTAATGTTGGGAAATAAATTATCTATATTAAGTATTACCTAATTTAATAACCTTAAAAATCCCTTCTGAACATAACGGTAAACAAAAGCAAGCCGCTGAATGTGCTAAAAAACGCCAAAGCGCTTGCCTATCAGATTGTGAATGAAAATAGTGCTGCCTACATTTAGGCGTTTGTTCTATAGAAATACAACATTTCAGATGTTTTTTATTTCAGCTTTCCCCATTTCGCTTTTCGCCGGTGCACACAAAGTTTTCCCTCGGACTTCCGCTTCCTGGTCAGCATTATTAAAAAGTACTTTCCCACAGTGAAACGGGATCCTTAGAACCACAAACAAATGTCTAGCTTTCTCTGTTTTTAGGGAGCGTGTTTGTTTTGACTTTCAATGGGACGCTAGTCTCTCTTTTCTTCTCTTTGTGCAGTGATGCCAATATTTTCACAACAAAAGTGGCGGAACGGGAAATTTAAGTTTCAATAACAATAGTTGTGTAACATTTTTAAAGATTTTATTAAAATTTTTTTTACAGAATTTTCTATAATTTTGTTTTTTTTCAAATTTCTTTATAAAACCGCCAAAAATGTTTTTTTTTTAAAGGCGTGGGTTTTTCTTTTAAAACAAAAGTGCTAAAAAGGGGAAACATTTTCGATTTATTTTTTATTAAGCATTGAGTTTTAAAGTTATGATTACCAAACTGTCAAAATGGTTGGGCTAATGGCGGTTCTTAGCTAAACTAATGCCGATTAAAACAACAAAATTAGGGTTTTTTTTATTTTTACCAAATTATTATGTTTTCAAGGTATATTTATTAGGTAGCCATAAAAACGCCAACACTGACTCTCTCTCTCGTGGATGCGGAAGCCAACATGTGTGCAGGAGCATATAAATAGCAGGACGACCCGCAGGACGCGCTCACTCTGCTTGGAGAGCTTTAAGAGCTTGGAGTGGAGTGCCAGCGCTCCTGCCGACGCGCCTAAAACTTGGCATACGATAAATAAGTCTCATATTTTGCGCAGTCTGGACTTACTACGCTGACTTACTACTCACTGTCATGCCAGGAAGTTGAAGCCAGGGAGCTCTAGGAAAGATGGAGACCACAGGCTACCAGGACATCAGTGCCCTGGAAAAATCGGTGAGTTTATGTAAATCGACCAGGGGAATATGAATAGCCACTTATCAATACGCAGGGATAGGCCCTCGGCCTGCAGTGAGAGAAAATTGATACGTTCCAAAGGGGTCAATTACAGGGCGGGCCATTATAATAAATCACCAAGTACGTTGTTTGTAATGGCGCCTAAAAATAGGCAGCCATTCCCAAGCCATTATTACATTCCTATATGTGATTAAACTTTCCTTGATTGACGTAGTTGAAATTGTAGGCTTGATATTCCAATTATGTGATTCGAGCTTCTAAAGCGAATATCAAAGGTCTTCCAATCATACATTATAAAATTTAATATGACATTTATAGCTTATTTTAAATAGTATTTACACCATATTCTAAAATTTCATGTCTTTGCATAAAATCTTATTTGGACCAAGCTTTTGACCTTTTAAAGTCTTATAAAGACTTTTTAAACCCAATATATTGAAATGGGTAAATTTTTAAGGAACATTTAATATTTAAAGCTAGTAAGATAAAAACATATTGGCTAAATTATTTAAAGATGCATCCAAATTCTAAAAGGTAATTTTGAATAAGTAAACAAGAAGTTATTATTCCCAAGTCATTAGATTGCAGCATATTTTAAATGAATTTGGTAAAAAGACGTGGTGAATTTAAAACCAATAAAATCAAATGGTATAGTATTTCTATACTTAAGTTCTGGAATGCAATATCCTGTGAGTTAACCCCATTTCTCTCTGTTTCAAGGTGGCCAATGCCGGTTCGCAGCTTTATACGATGGCCCACAAACTCCACGAGGTGGAGCGCAGCCTCGAACAGACGACGATGGAGCAGATGGACGAAATGGAGGTACTCGAGCTGCTCGAGTCGATGAGCGAGGTGACCAACGAGTACCAGAATCTGCGCAAGGACATTCGCGAGGTGCAGCAGTTGCAGCGTGACGTCAGCAGCTCCATACGCTACCAAATGCGCAGCATGCAGCAGACATTTCACACACTAAAACAGCGGATAGCCAGCTCCCAGAAGGGTCGCAAAAAGGCAGAAAAACCCCTGACGGAGCAGGGGGATATGAATAATCCATGAACCTTATTGATTGGCCTCTCAGGCGAAAGGAGCGGAAAATGTGTCAAAGGGGCGGAAAAGTAGGGACTAGACACCAATCTGAAGCAATCAACTGTGTAACTATATATCGCAGACACACACCAGGCATTTAGACTCGAAATCAGATCCTATACTTTATATATATACACTCAAAGAAAAAACACATTTGAAACACCCAATTGTAAGCACACCAATGTGTTTTTCACACTGTGTTTTGTGTTCTTAGAGTTTTTGCATACTTAAACCAATTTAACTTGATGATACGAAAAATTGTATAAGCCATTTTTTTTATCACTGTAAAAATCAAAAAAACTCGAACACAAAACGTAGTCTAAAAAGCATATAAAGCAGACTTTTAGAGTAGGATGAATAGCGTACTTTACGACGAACCGGAATGTCTGATGCACTTTTCCAAAATTTGCCTTAACATAATCGTATTTTGAGCTAGTTTTTGATACGACACGTTTTAATAATGATACCAAGCATACATTTAAGCTACACACAATGGCAACCTGTTTTTGGTTATTCTTGTGTTCGTTTCACTTTTGGAGATTTGTTTGTTGACATCTAGAGAAAATAAAAACTAGTTAAGCCCAAAAAGTGTATTTATTATAGCGTTTGGAGCATTTTTAAAGCATTTACTTTCAAATCTGCCGCCAATTACTCAAAAACTATCGATAATTCGCTTGGCGGCCCTTTTCAAACCCATCTGGCAACGCCATCTGATCGTGCAGCCCTCTGGCATTTTCCAGCACTGGTTGCAACGTTCACCAACACTTTTCGCGGTTGCGTTCGCGTAGAAGTTTCTGATTTATTGTGTTTTTATTCAACGTTTTTGCGAATAAAATGAACTGGTTTTTGCAGCTGCTTAAAGGGGCGTGAAAAGGTTCGACCGTTTTTGAATAAAGAAATCAGTGCTAAAATCGGTGAAATAAAAAGAAAGCAAAACATTCTGCGGCACTTGTGTGCGCGTATGCGTGTGCGTGTGTAGGTGTAAGCGTTGGCGGTGTTTGTGTGTGCGTGTCAACATTTGAGGCAAAAATTGATAATTTGGTCTGAGAAAGTGCAAGAAAGTGGGTTTTAAGGCATTTAAACCAATCAAATTGCGCATTTTTTGTAGTACTCACTTTCTGTGAAAGCTGGCGCGCCTGCGCCTTTTTATTATATTATATTTTTGCCTGCCTACGTGTCCAAAAAAAACCGGAAAGTTTCCCAAAAACGCCTAAAAACCCCCTAAAATGTGGGGTTTTTGCATAATTCTGATCCTGGCCTGCGCAGCCGGGGAATACAGTGAAGTGCAGGTGATCCAGGAAATGGATAACTTCCTGGAGAATCCCCACTATCTAAAGAACCAGGAAATCGGAGAACTCTTCACTCAGCTGGCCAAGGATTATCCCGATTTGGCACAGGCCTACACGATAGGAAAATCCCTGGAGGATCGACCTATTTACGCCCTGGCCTTAAGTGCACCCACCGCGGAGTCCAAAAATGGAGATCTTCTGAGGCCCATGGTAAAGCTGGTGGCAAACATTCGGGGCGATGAAACGGTGGGTCGTCAGATGGTTCTCTATATGGCCGAATACCTGGCCACCCATTACGAGGGCGATTCGGTGGTCCAGGACCTGCTCAATCGAACCGAGATCCACTTTCTGCCCACCTGCAATCCCGATGGATTTGCCAAAGCCCAGGTGAGTCACTATTTTTATTTTTTTCCTCTGATTTCTCTACAATTAAAAATCGACGGAAAAAAACGAAAGAAAGGGGGAAAAACAGCTGGCGACGCAAATAAAAGTGATTGTAAATGACTGCCAGGTGCCCCACCCTACTGTTATCCCCTTTCATCTATAGTTTGTAGATCGCACTACACTTATACAAATTCTACTTGTAATCGCAATAGAAAACTGGACATAATTTAAGGGAAACTTTTTTTTTAAATAGCCAATTATAATTATTGAATCTTTGGGAACCTTTTACAAAATTGTTGTTTGGTGTTGGTATTGGTCAGAAAAATATGAAAAACTCTTCTCGATTTCAGTGCGAATTTTGCCTTATCTACACAGCGTTTTCCTAAGTCAAAGCGTTGTTCGCCCTGAATAAATTAATATTTCTTTATCTAATTAAGAGCAATTTTTCATAAATTTATTGCGTTTTTTCTACGTTACAAACTTATAATTTGAATTAGTGTATTACAAGAATATATAAATGCATTTCGTCAATCATTTCTAAAAAAAAAAGGAATATCCGTCCTTTTTTTCTGAAATTGTTATTACTTATTATTAAATTTTGTTATTGAAATACAATAGTGCATAAGAGGAGGCCGGCTACACGTTGATTTTCTAATTATAAATATTAAGAACTGAAAATGATAATTGAACTAGATATTGGGCAAATAAGTATCGTTTTATACACATACATATATTGTTCTTGGAGTCAACGTTAAATTCTCACATAAGACAGCAAAAAAATGTTTTTCTATTAGGATTGAAAGTTAAAACTAATACAATTTAAAAACCAAAACCAAAAATTTCTTTTTCGGTAAAAAAAAAAGTTTACTCAGTTGCGTGTCACTTTGATTTTTTTAACAGATTAATAATAATTCTAAGCTTCTAATGTTCCCAAAAAGATTTTTGCTTCCGGAAATGTTTATTTTACTGTCTTATTAAGTTCTGACCAATGTTTCTTTCTCTCACGAATGGTAAGTTATTCGTCATATTTTTTTTCAACACTATTGAAATCCATGCAGATGTCTTTTTTTCTCAGTGTTTATATAGACACCTCTACCTCTTCATTCTCTCATTCGATCTGCTCAGCTTTTTTCAGAACTGAGCCCGCTGGGTCTTTGTTTGCAGAGAAAAGAGAGGAACGAGATAGAGATGGGGATACAATCTACAATCTCCGGAAAAACAAGATCTTATGCCCCAACTACACAGAAAGTGTGATTGGAATGTTTTGACCCACTTTTTCTGGCTTGTGGTTAACCAACGTGTTTGATCACTCAATTAGCAGTAGAGAGTTCCTTCTAAACTCGACCAATATTTGGGGAATATAATGCATTTCTCCAGATCATAATAGATAATTAAATCTTCTCACTCAATGTCTTCGCCAAGTGTCTTTCGAGTGCCCCTCGAATGGTATCTTGTTTAATGGATCCCAAGAGCTCTTCAACTCAAGTGGTGGGTTTTAAAGAAGTCTTATTTTCTTAATGAATTACAATGAAAAGCGAAAACGTGACTTAAATAAAAGAAGAAAGAATTCTCAGCTATGAATATTCCAATTATTTGTCTTTAATAAATACAAAATATTATTTCCCAGAATCGTTATTCAATAATTTAGATTTTACTGCGGAAATTTTTGAGATTAAGTAATAATTCATATATAATGTGATAACATTAAAGCTCATACTATGATCTTTAAGTTGAAAATGAATCTTGAGCTTAGCGTATTTATAATTAATTAAAAGGCTTTAGTTTTGCGCTACGTGGCCCTATAGTTTTCATAAACTCGCCTGATATTCAGATTCAAGCTACATTTAATATGATGATATACAAATTCAATCAAATGGCAACTTTTACACGCTGCCAAGGTTCAAGTTGTTTCAGTGAGCACAAACGTCGCAAAAATAACCACAATTAAACGGGCATTATTATTAGTCTTATCAGCGTTCTAATGGCCGGAGATCTTTGTGAATCTTGTCTGGTTTTTTATTTGCCTTAATGACAACTGTATTATTGCACATGGGCATTAATGGAAGAAACGACCAAGCTGAAAAAGCTGTGCAAATTAAGAATTTGAATAATTGCTTTTCTTAAGAATTTTAGTTAAGACAACAAATATTATAGATTGCCTTTATTGCCTCCGCTATTTGACACTTCAATGGTCAATTTTTTACTTGGATAAGATTAAAATGTTAGTAAACAAATTTTACAGGCTGTTAAATGCGACATGCACTGTGAGAAAATATAAAGTTTCATGAGATTTTTATTGATAGGGACTATTTCATCAAGACAAGAAGTTATCAGTTCATGTAATACTATTTGTCGTACGATATAAATGTATATGATCTTGTGATAATATATCTAAACTTGATTTATTTTGTTATACTAATTCAAGGATACCGTCTTATTTTTCGTTTGCAATTGATGCGCATACGTAAATATGAGAAGGTGTACAATAAATGATTCTGATATAAAGTTTAAAAGTGTATTTGGTTCAGAGAAGAACCGTGTTTAATCCAAGAATAATCCCTTGATATTTGTCGCTGTGTGCGGGCGTGCGTATCTTGGTGACAGTTTTATGGCCTCTCCAATAATCTGGCGATAAAGTAAACATAGTGTGTCGGTTCGCTAAGCCCCCCAACTGACGTCATGATTTCGCAATTGCAACAGCGGCAGCAAAAAGTGACTGACGATAGGGGGTGGCACATTGAGCGGGTGCAAATCGTAATTACTTTACAAGAAACTGGTTAGATGTCACAACAATAACAATAACAATAACAGCAAAGCAGCAGAAGTAAACTCCCGATGACGTTCGTGTTCGCGCGGTTCACTTTATTCACTTTATTTTCCTGCAATTGAGACACTTTATTCGCAACCGGTTTGTTGTTGTTGATGGGGTTTTGCTACCGAGAGTTAAGAGCGCTACAAAGTTAGCCAATTTCCGCTGCACACGTGCGCCTTGACAGTCTTTTTTTCCCAGAGTGCACTTGCCTATCAACAGCTGTTCGCTCCGTTAACATAATACAGATTATATAAAGGTGCAAGGATTTAGGGTATACACTTCCTAATCTTAAGCAGATATTACTTTAAACGTTTTAATTTTTATTAAGCCTTTTTTGAAATACATTAATCTAATCTCACATGTGTATGCTTTAAAAAAGGCTCTACGTTTAAAATGTTTAAACAAATTGTTTTGTCTTTTTGTTTTGGGATATTTGTTGACGCTACAAAGTAGTTACAGGTTTTTAAATAAATACCGACAAAAATAGTATGCTTGTATGTCTTTTAAATCTCTTAATGTTTGATGAATATCCAGAAGAAGCACTTTAAATAACTCAGTTTTATTCTGAAAAAATTGAAAGGTGTTAAATAATTAAGAAAATTTAGTTAGACAATTTGTCTTTGATATGGAATTAGTATTTTGAGGGTATCCACAATTCATATTCACCTCATCTCTTTGAAAACCGCAATTCCTTGAGGAAGTGCATTCCACTTAGCCCCTCTCTGCCAATAAACAGCTTTTCAACAAGCAGATCGGAGCTAAGCTCTTTGCATTTGTATTTCGCACCCGCCGTTAATAAATGGAAATGATGAGAGGAAGTGGGAGGGGAGAGGAGGGGCTGAAAGTGGCCATATGCCCGTATTGTCTGATAATAGCGATTTGCCGCAATTGTGAATGTGCCAATTTGTTTTGTTTATCGATAAGACAGCACCAACACGTTGGCACGTAAATATATGTACATATGTACGTGTCTATGTTTTTGTGGGTGGCCTTTTTGGAACCCACGCAGAACGGGCTGTCTGTGACGTCACGGCGTGGGAGTGGAGTTATCGATTTTCGTAAAAATATCCTGTTGACGTGCGTCGGGTGGCTCTCTCTGTCTCTCACCCACACTTGCGCAGGCGCCCCACATTTTGGGTCTGGCAACTCCCCCTTCCGATAATAACTACTCAATTATAAGCGTTTAAATAAACTAAATTAATCCGTGGTAGCCAAAAAAAAAACTTCGAGGTAAAGCTTTTCCACTAGCGGGTTTTTGATGGATTTTGCGTTCGCTCCGGCGTGTAATTTCCCTACAATTAGCGCCTCTCTTTTGGCTTTTGGGGGCTGCTCTCTTGGAACGATGAACAGTGGGGTCACAGACCCCGAAAAGGTTCAAAAACTGAAGTGCAATATATTATTGTATTTTTTTATTAGATCAATCTATGTGCAACAAATTTAACTTTTGATTTAATTTAAATTTTATTACTTTTTGTGTGCGCGTTTCTCAAAATTGTAATTAAAATCGCTCCTTTATTCAAAATTTGGTTGGAAAAACTTAGACTTTTCAATTGCGTATTCTCAAAACTTATTTAATTGTATTATTAAGTCAAATAGTTGGTTTCTGAATAAGTCATGGCTGGGGGTGTGTGTCCCGCCCCACTGTGCGACGTCGACTAAGGCAGCGGCAGCGGCAGAGGCGGCGGGCGAATGGGCGCTTAAGGCCAATCAACACAGCAAATTTTCAAACAGTTGATTTTTCGAGCCTGAGCTGCAACGACGACCCACGACGAACGGACGCCCGACGGACAAAAAAAAAGAGCGAGCGAGAGCGGAGGAGTAGCTGCTGGAGGAAAATAACTGTATCTCGCTCAATTCGCACGCCAGTGATAAAAAACAAAACCATCTCCAAGTCGAAAAGATTGTAAATCACGACGAGATGATGTCTCTGGGTGCCCTGTTTTTCGCACTGTTGCTGGCTATATCCACCAGCAGTGGCTATATCATCAAGGAGGACGAGTCCTTCCTCCAGGACCCGCACTATACCAGCCAGGAGCAGCTGGAGGACCTGTTTGCCGGTCTGGAGAAGGCGTACCCGGAGCAGGCCAAAGTTCACTACTTGGGTCGTTCCTTGGAGGGCAGAAATCTGCTGGCTCTGCAAATCTCAAGGAACACCAGGTCGAGGAATCTCCTGACTCCCCCCGTCAAGTACATTGCCAATATGCACGGCGATGAGACGGTGGGCAGGCAGCTCCTTGTCTACTTGGCCCAGTATCTGCTCGGGAACTACGAACGGGTCATCGAACTGGGCCAGCTGGTCAACAATACGGACATCTATCTGATGCCCACCATGAATCCAGATGGTTATGCGTTGTCCCAGGTAAAGAATCAATCGTCCAAAGTTCCCGGGGTCACCTGTTGGGGCGCTTGTTTTGTTTTGTCGGGCTTTTGGGTGAAAAATCAATAAGAGGGAGGGGTAACACTGTAGTTGGTTTTTTTGGGGGAACCTTACTGTACTGAGAGTACTGTAGGGTTTTCTTTGTGGGTACAGTAGAGAGAGTAGTAGGTGTTTCGGGAACACCAAAAACCAAAGTGGGACCCGTTGACTACAAGAGGATAATCAACAAGGAGTTATACAAATAGAAGTGGAAGCGGTTGATTTTACACAGGAAGGAAGAGAAGCAGTAGTTAAAGGGAAAATGAAAGTAGTATTTTTTTTTTCATAGAGAGAGTGTGGGAGAAGTGAAACTTACAAGAAAACTGGAAGGCAGTTAACAATTGCAATGTATAAAATAATTATAAAAATGATGGTACATTGAAATGTGTACATCATTACCAGGTTTAATAGACATTTGCGTAGAAACACACAAATCACTAAATCATAAATACACAGCACAGTAAAAAGACAAATAACAACTTGTTTGTCCCACCCAAGACTTGGCACTTTTTAATCAATTGCGTTAGGCCAAGCTCTGTCGCTCTCTCCTTCGCACTCCCCCATTGAAAATGTTGACATGTTGTTCACGAACACACCTGGTTTATTGGTTTCTACTCGTTTGTTTATCATCAACTTCTTGAATCGTGGCTAATGTGGAGTAAGCACAAACAATTATTATAGTCTCGCTCAATGTGACTTTGTTGTTGCCTCAGCCCCAAAGGTCAGAATAATGCAATCTGTCCGATGCTCTAGCGGGTATTTACAATTGATAAGCAATATGGAAACTTATACGTGCATATTGCCACTCAGCAAATAATCTACGAATATTACCCTAATTCAAAAATTCTTTTGAATAATATACTCATACATTTGTATACACGTTTGTCTTTTTCACTCTTCTAAGAACTCTAAATGAATTAAATTTATATTTTATTGCTTTAAAAAAATAATCATCCGATTTGATATATACTGTTTTCTACTTGTAACGCAAACTCTGACAAAGTTTATTTAAGTTATTGGCGTAAGAATTCTCCAAAAATTCCCGTGATTCATAACGATTATAATGATTTAAGCAAAGTCCTCTCTGGTTCCTCAGCTTTAAATTTGACTCATTCATTACTAGTCGAGAGAGAAGTGTTGCTCTTGTATTGTTTTATCCCACGGAGTGCCTTTTATATGCTTTCCCAAGTGAGCTTCCGATCGGTAGCGTGACCATTGTGGCTATAATGATGACATGATCCATTTAAGTTGGCCCTTTAATGGTGTAATTTGTTGATTATGCAATGGTCTGTAGTCCATCCACAGAGGGGAAGATCCCCTCTAGTTCATCTGATTTGCCATCTGGCTTCATTGTGTTGTTTTCCACTTTCTGATGTCCATAGCCTATAGTTTTTGCTCTGATTGATTGATTGCTGTTCCGATTTGCCAGGAAAAAGGGGGGAAACCAATGCGTTCTGTTTTGTCTGCTCCATTGCACAATGTTATTATCGAATATCGATCCGGGGTCTTTCTTTCGCCGCGATTGTTATGGTGTAATCACTTGCCTGACACCTGACTGCCATGCTAAATGGTCAATTCCGGTCAGGACTGACCTGCATGCCAATCAGCCCATAACAGAGTGAAAGACCAAAAGAGAAACTTTTAACTTTGGCCTGAAACAGATGGGTATTTCCATCATCTACTGGCATCATCTGGTTATTAAATATACTAATGATGTTTTATGTTATTAAACAACTGCAATTCAAGTTCTTTGTTGTTATACGTCCTGAAATTTGGTTTAAAGCTATACCCCGAATCAAACCAAATTTCAGGAAGTATCACTACAATAAACTCGGATTGCAGAAAGTGTATGATACTCAAAGGTTGTTAAGTAAACTATACACAAACAAAAAATACTGATATCTTAAAATTTGTATTTATATTTAAAAATCTTTCAACATGTAACGTCACAACTAATAGGATACATTAAATGCTATTTACAAGGTCATTTTAATACCTAAAAAAAAGGGTTTATCGAATTACTGTTGAATCTTGTTGACCTATTTTCAAATTGTATCTTATTAAATACAATGTAAAACTTTGCTAATTAATGCGAAATATTTATTTTCATTACAGGAGGGCAACTGCGAATCACTGCCCAATTATGTGGGTCGTGGCAATGCGGCCAATATAGATTTGAATCGCGATTTTCCCGATCGCCTGGAACAGAGTCATGTCCACCAGTTGCGCGCCCAATCCCGCCAACCGGAGACGGCGGCCCTGGTCAATTGGATCATTAGCAAACCCTTTGTGCTCTCTGCCAATTTCCATGGTGGAGCCGTTGTGACCAGTTATCCCTACGACAACTCCTTGTAGGTTCTACAAAACCGAAGGAATTACTCTATTTAAGGATCAAACTAAATCTTTATCTTATTTTGCAGAGCCCACAACGAGTGCTGCGAGGAGAGTTTGACCCCGGATGATCAGGTCTTTAAGCAGTTGGCCCACACTTATTCGGATAACCATCCGATTATGAGTAAGGGCAACAACTGCAACGATAGCTTCACAGGTGGCATCACTAACGGAGCCAATTGGTATGAGCTTTCCGGTGGAATGCAGGACTTCAACTACGCTTTTAGCAACTGTTTTGAGCTGACTATCGAGTTGTCATGCTGCAAATACCCGGCGGCCAGCACCTTGCCCCAAGAATGGCAGCGAAACAAGGGATCGCTGCTGCAGCTGCTGCGCCAGGCGCATATCGGGATCAAGGGTCTAGTTAAGGATGCCAGCGACTTCCCAATAGCCGATGCCAGCATCTATGTGTCCGGACTGGAGGAAAAACCCATGCGCACCTCGAAACGTGGAGAATACTGGAGGCTGTTGACTCCGGGTCTCTATAGCGTGCATGCTGCCGCCTTTGGGTGGGTTTTTCGATAAACTATGTGGCCGAAAAGCCTTGTTAATGTGGTTTTTATATCCCCTAAAATACAGTTACCAGACTAGTGCCCCTCAGAAAGTCCGGGTGACCAACGATAACCTGGAGGCCTTGCGCCTGGACTTCAAGCTGACGCCCGTCGAGACGAACTTTGATGGTATTAGCAGTTTATACAGTCCCTATTATTTCTAGAGAGGGCTGCAACGGATATACATATATATATGCGCATATATATTTTAGTCGCCAGCTAGAAAACGAAAACACACACATAGCCATGCCATGACCTGCACCTAGTTGGCTTGCTCCTCCTGCTCACTCCGCACATTCCTTGTACTATATATGTTATCCCTGTCATTTCCCGATCCCGATCTTGATGCCCATGACATGTTCATTTATTCCTTGTCATCCACAACTAGATTCGTTTCCCCCCGTGAGAGCTGCTTAGAACTACAAAAATGTTTGGCTTTCGTGTGGGATCGAATCAGTTTTGGTTTCATTCGAATCTGTTTAATATATGTTTGCTATATTTTTTTTAAACATATATGTTTCCTAAATTTTTGTTGTATTTATTTATTGTGCATTTCCATTCACTTTCACTTTGGAATCTCATGTGTTCTTAGCGATTTTCTCTGCTTTACTGCAAGCTTATGTTAGCTATCTCCTTCCCACGCCCATTGTATCTGTCTCTGTCGCGCACACACTTAGCTAAAAAAAAATTTTGATTTGTACATAGAGAATGGAAAGAAAACACGAACAAATACCAAACCAAATAACGAAATAGAATACAATAATCGAATAAGCAAATTGTACTTAGGAACTTATAAAGAAATCAGCCCACTTAAGGTCATCGAATGACCTGCACGAACAAAAGATACAAAAATCAAATACGAAGCGGTTTTAGCTTGATCTCTCCTCCTCTTATCTCCCCCACCCCAGTATTGTGGAGTATTTTAGCAACGATGAGCAAAAAACTATGATAAACACATTCATATATATCCACTATATACATATACTGCTCTATATATTATCACTATCGATATAGATTGTATGCGAACCACATGGTTTAGTCCTATCAAAAACGATTGTTGAGCATCTCTCCGAAAAAAAACCTAACCTTTCGAAGTAAAGCGAAATTATTATCAATTACGATCCGACTATTTTTGTAGCACACATGCTTCCGTATGGCTTTTAATATATATATATGTACGATGTTGACGAGACACCCAATGAAAAATAATGGAATGGCCCGAAAGTATTGAGGGTACAACAAATCCTTTGCTAGGGATGAATAAAATTTTGATTTTCGCTTGGTGCGTTTTATTTTCACCCATGGTTCATTGTTTTGGTAACCGCAGCATTTAAATTTTTATTGGTTTAATGATTTGTTATTTTTAACATATTTCATACATGGAAACTGTTCACAACATACAGGTTATTTTTTAGGCTTATTATTATAGTATTTTTAAATGTTGGTAATTTTTTGCCATTTGGTTCTAAAGGTTCGTTCGTTTTCACCTAACATTTTTTAATGCCCAATGGTTGCAAGTTATAAGTTGTAGTTGTTTAATCTCTTATTTTATGGTTCCTTTGTTCTTCTTTTCCTTTAGTTTCTTTCACCGGCCTCATATATTTGTATATATCCTTTGCCTTACGACCGTATTAAAGTTGGGGGCGTGTCCGAGAAATGTCGAGTCAAATCTAAATTTTAATTGTATATTCCACTAAGTACCTAAAAATCAAAACGAATGAAAAGCGTGTGTGCCAAAAGTCAAACTATATTTCTAGATCTTAAAATGGATATGTTTTATATATATATATGTATGTCTATGTATGCACTTAATCGTACAAGAATCAAGCATTTTCTTTGGCATTTTACTTGGATTTTATCTCAAATAAATGTGAACTATGAAATTATAGCAAAATAAACAATCGAAATTGTACATCTGCTTGTGCTTGTGATTCTGCTGCTGATTTTAGCTTCTCCCGCCGCTGACTATTAGACGCACTGCATCCAATCCTCACCTCCTCACCTGACTTCACCAGGCACCCGCATGTGGCACCCCCATGAAAAACTGGCATGATTACACACACACAACCTCCTCACCCATTTCCGTTTCCGCTCTCCCCTCCCCGCAGGCAACTTCCGGAAGGTAAAGATGGAACGCTCGGAGCCGCCAGAGAAGCGCAAGGAGCAGTTTGATGGATTCCTGACCCCCACTAAGTTCGTACACCACAACTATACGGCCATGGAAAGGTAAGAATTTGGGTCTTGGAAAACCCTGTAGAAACTCGTTATTTGGTGGGAATTGTTTTTTAATAGGCTCCTATCAGTGAAATATCAAATGGGTATTTCAAAGAAATACAACATATGTTTTATGTATTCGCACTACTCTAATCGAAATCCAACATATGCTAGGCATTCAATTATATTTGAAAAGAAAACGTTGTACCAAACATATTTGTTTGTGTCTTATATTATAGTGTTATTAATATATACTGGAAATTCTCTAGATTAAAACCGTATAAACTAGGCAAGTGGGTAAAAAGTTACAAAAAAGATGTTATAACTTATTTATCTATTTTTTTTAAACATTTTTAGTGAACTGAATCATCTGAATATTTTCCGTATTGAAATTATTTGAATATGCGTTTCAGTATAAGGTGTTTTAAAATATTTTATATTTATTTCTGATAATAATTTAACTGTTGTATCTGATTAAGCAGTATTTATATTACCAAATGTGAATTAAAAACGAGAGTAAATCTAATTTGGTTCCCCGCCTTTGTTATGTATATTTATTTGTTATTATTTATTTCTAAACTCCACCTGTTTCTGCTTTTCCAGCTACCTGAGGGAGATCTCCGCCAGCTATCCATCGCTCACCCGTCTCTACAGCATTGGCAAGAGTGTCCAGGGCCGAGATCTTTGGGTGCTGGAGATCTTTGCCACCCCGGGTTCCCATGTGCCGGGAGTGCCGGAGTTTAAATATGTGGCCAATATGCATGGCAACGAGGTGGTGGGCAAGGAATTGCTGTTGCTCCTCACCAAATACATGCTGGAACGCTATGGCAATGATGATAGGATAACCAAGTTGGTGAATGGCACCCGGATGCACTTCCTGTACAGCATGAACCCCGATGGCTATGAGATATCCATCGAAGGTGATCGAACCGGCGGAATTGGACGAGCGAATGCCAATCACATTGATTTAAACAGGAATTTCCCGGATCAATATGGCACAGATAGGTACAATAAGGTTACGGAACCCGAGGTGGCCGCCCTGATGAACTGGACCCTGTCGCTGCCGTTTGTCCTGTCCGCCAATCTCCATGGTGGCTCCTTGGTGGCCAACTATCCCTTTGACGACAACGAAAATGATTTCAATGATCTGTCTATGAGGCTGAGGAATTCCAGTATCAACGGACGCAAGGCCAATCCCACGGAGGACAATGCGCTGTTCAGACATCTGGCCGGGGTCTATGCCAAGGCACATCCCACCATGCACTTGGGCCAGCCGTGTGAGCTCTTCCGCAATGAGTTCTTTGCCGATGGCACCACCAACGGTGCTCAGTGGTACAGTGTCACTGGGGGAATGCAGGACTGGAACTATGTGAGGGCGAAATGCCTGGAGCTGACCATCGAAATGGGTTGCGATAAGTTCCCGATGGCGGCGGAACTTCCTCAATATTGGCATGATCATCGGGAACCCCTGCTCCAGTTTATTGAGCAGGTGCATCACGGCATCCATGGATTTGTGCACAGTACCATTGGCACTCCGATCGCAGGAGCTGTTGTTCGATTGGATGGCGCCAATCACTCGAGCTACAGTCAAACCTTTGGGGATTATTGGAAGCTGGCGCTGCCCGGTCGACACAATCTCACCGTTTTGGGTGACAACTATGCTCCGTTGAGGGTGGAAGTGGAGGTGCCCGAGGGCGAGCCCTATGAGATGCGCATGGATGTCACCCTCATGCCCGACGATCCGCAGCACTGGGCCTCCGCCAATGACTTCCGGATTATCGAGAACGTGGTCAACACACGGTATCACACCAACCCGGAGATTCGTTCACGCCTGGCGGAGCTGGAGAACCAAAATGGACAGATTGCCAGCTTTGGTTATGCCGACAACGAGTTCAGCACCTACTTTAACTACCTGAAGATGACCTCTGATGTGAGTGACAGGATCTATTTCAAAACGTTTTTTATTTACCTAAAATTTGTATCTGTAAACCCACTGATTTATTTATCCTTTCAGATTGGTGAACCCGACGAGCACAAGTATAAGCTCTTGGTGGTGAGTTCCCTGTACGATACAGCTGCTCCCTTGGGCAGAGAAATTGTGCTCAACCTGGTGCGACATCTCGTGGAGGGTTTCAAGTTGCAGGATGCCTCTGTGGTCGATCTGCTGAAGCGCAGTGTTATCTATTTCCTGCCGCAGACTAACAAATTCCAGGATGTCTTCAACATGTACAACGCCAAGTGAGTTAGCCCACCCAAAGCCCTGGTGTTTGAAGAACTCATTTAATCTTATCTTATCTTATAACCCATAATAGCTCCTCCGTTTGCGATCCCGTGCTGGGTGATGAGCTGGCGGAACGCATCCTGAATCCAGAGACAGATCAGGCGAAGGACATGTTTCTACAGTTTCTCCGCAGCGAGCACTTTGATTTGATGCTTACCTTCGGAGCGGGCAGCTCTGAATTGAGTTATCCCAAGGGCGACTCGGTGCTGGAGAAGTTTGCCCATGGAATGCAGCGGACGGAGTTCAACTACTCGCCCCTTCAGTGCCCTCCATCCGCCACGAGGCAGGCGCACCGGGAGACCACGGAGAGATTGACCAATCTGATGTACCGCATGCACAACCTGCCCGTTTACACCTTGGGCCTCTCCTGCTGCCGCATGCCGCACCACAAGCAAATTGCGTCCGTTTGGCGCAAGAACATCGATAAGATCAAGAACTTCTTGGCGCTGGTTAAAACAGGAGTGAGTGGCCTGGTGCAGAGCGACAAGGGTCAGCCGCTGAGGGAGGCCTTTGTGCGCTTGTTGGAGCACCAAAGGATCATCAATGTTACGAAGAATGCAGCCCGATTCCAGTTGATGCTGCCCCACGGTCTCTACGGCTTGGAAGTAACCGCTCCCAATTACGAGTCCCAAATTATCAAAGTGAACATACAAGATGGTCAGATCACGGACTTGGGCACCATACGCATGAATCCATTTACGCTGATTCGCGGAGAGGTGGTGGAGTTGCAGAACAAGGCCAGCGGTGCCACCACTAGCATTGCGGGAATGGTGCTGGATGAGAGCAATCATCCTGTGCGCAATGCCAAGGTTTCAGTGGTGGGGCAAACGCAATTGCGGAACTTCACCAACAGCATGGGACAGTACCATATATCGGCGGTACCTTTGGGCACTGTCTCCCTAAAAGTGGAGGCACCGCGTCATCTGGAGGCATCGCGGCAGTTGCATCTGATTCAGGGTGGCCTGGCCACGGAGAACGTCGTCTTTCACCTGAAGATTAACGAGCATGTCTTTGGACTGCCACGTTTTCTGTTCATCCTGTTTGCCAGTATTTTGATCATTGTTGGCGTGATCGTCTGTGTGCTGTGCGCCCAGTTTTGGTTCTATCGACGCCATCGGGGTAACAAGCCGTACTATAACTTCTCCCTGCTGCCGCAAAAGGGAAAGGAGCAGTTCGATCTGGAGGAAGATGAGGCGGGCGATGATGGGGAGACGGAGCTCTTCCGATCGCCCATTAAACGTGAGTTGGGAAGTAGGGAACCCTTTTTAAACTGCCGAGCTAATCACTCTTCTTGTTCTTCAGGCGGCATGACCATACAGCCGTACTTCGACGAGGAACAGCTGGAGCGCATCCTGCACACGGATGACGAGGACGACGATGGGCCGCACATGGAGCCGGAACTGGATGTGGCCGACGACAGTGGCGATGAGATAGTGATGCTGCATAATCACGGGAACAAGCGCCGGCACTAGATCCCTGATGAACAAATCTCAACTGTCCCAACCACCAGGAACCACTTGATCCATGATCCATGATCCATGATCCACGATCCACTGCAAACACACGACAACCACACACAACATAACTGTGATTCAAAACGTTTTCAAGAGAAACCAACGCAAGGCATTGCTCTACCATTTTTTTTTAATTTTTGTGTAATATATACCCTTTTAATGTTACCTAATCATTCGATGTACAATGATACGATTTACGCCTGCGCTTTAATGTTAGTGAACCTTGCACCTATAATGCATTACGATCGTCAGCTTTAAATAGAGAATGTTGTGCTCCAACCTCCAACCCACTCGGCGAATCTCTCTTCCATGCCCTTATAGCCCGTTTATATGGCGATTATATATATGTCCAGCCAAGCGTAAGCGTAACTTAACTTAAGACTGAGAGCCTTGCAACTCTAGCAAAAAAAAGAAATGAAAATATGTGAGGAGAACGATGATGGACGCGACTCTTGCTAATTAGTTGTATATTAAAGACCCTTTCAATGCTTTACTACAAAAAAACCCAGCAATGCATAGATCGTGGTTTGAGTTTGCTATTTATCTCCCTGTAACTTGATTAAATATTTTTTTTGGTTTTGATATAAAAATTATACATATTTTACAAAAATTTTAAACTGCTCAAAACCCCTTAGTAACTAATAGATACTGTTATTAATTCATAACCTTTTTTTAATCACTTCAAACTCAAAACTTAACAAATAGGGCCCATTTCTGAATCTAAGTACTTAATAATTTATTAAATTTTATTTAATGGAATCAAAATTTGTCTGGACAATTACCTGGCTTAAAATTAATCAATATTGTTGTTACATATAGTCCCATAAACTCGAACCCTATATATGCATAAGTCTGGCTCATGAATTATAATTTTTCAAAGACGAAAAAACATGCGCAGCTTGCTAGGAGAGAATCATAACAAAACCAGTTAACAGCTTTGTAATATTTTCTTGGATATGCCTACACTTTAAAATACAAATATACACAAAATAAATTATATAAAAAACCAATGTAGGCAAATATATGTACTGCACGATTTTAACTTTATAGAGCACATAACGACAAAACCGTAGAAGATGAAAAGAAAATGAAATAAGTATATTTCACGAGGTGCAGCATTTACTTATATAAATATACATACTATTATACCTTTATCGTATACATATCCACAAATATGGCAAATATAACTATGTAAGAAACTATCTGAATAAAATAATAATGTACCTACAAATCTACGAAAAGAAAAAAGCACATAATAACTTTTCGGAGGTGTAATCTCGGTCGGATCGAGGCCATCTTCAAGCTTCCTGATCAGATGAATCACATGGAAGTTTCCTCAGTGCAAATATACCGCACACAGGGAAAAACAATTAGACTTCTTACTTATTTAAAGTTACAGAAAGTGATTTACTGCTTTACGATTCAAATTTCCTTAACTTCAAAGAAAATGTTTTTAAATTTAAATTTTAATATCTTCAAACTCTTAATTCTGTTTCTTTTTAATCAGCTTTCAATTTTTTCCTTTTTATTATATGAAAATTATTTTATGTTGGAATCTATTTATTAGGCACAATTTTGAGTTACGGAAGTTGAACTGCATGTCGTTTTCGCTATGTGGAGAGGGTGGGATTCATGAGCCAAGCCAAACCGGGCCTTTGCCTTTGTGGAGAGTGTCGCTTTGACCATCGCCGCTGTTGTCGTCAGAGCCAGGATCAAGGTTATCTGGCGATAGCCGCCTTATCGCCCATCCAGCGTTTCCCGCTCTGTCCACACAGCCACTACAATGTCCACCGATCTCAGCTGAACTGTCGCACCAGCATTATCAGGGGGTCCAGAGCCCAAGAGATAGTTGTCGTGCTCATTGTCGTTGTGTCGCTTAGTTGCGGATCTTCCAGCGTTGCGAGCAGAGCCAACCCAGCCAGATCCGAGCCGAAAACAGATCATGTGGTGGAGCCGTAAGTTAGCCTCAAGGTGTCTCCGCCTGAATCGGGCCAAGAGCACCAGTACCTCCAAGGAACCGGAGCAGACCTTGGGCATCATTGGAGTGCCATTCGCCAAGGGACAGGGCAAACAGGGTGTGGAACTGGCGCCGGATCTCCTCCGGCAGAGCAGTCTGCGTCAGGTGCTGCAGAGCAGTCATGGTGAGTGAGATGCCCTCTATTTTGGTATGGGAAACAACATTTAAGTGTTAGCAATAAGCCCTTGCTTTTTAAATCCAAATGATTAGACAAAAAACACTTGATTTTTGAATAACAAACTCTGGGAACTACAAAGTGTTCTTATCTTTCCGGTCGGAACGCATTCATAACAATATTATAAATATAGATTACATTCGACTTGGTTTGAAAAAAATAGGAAAATAAAGCCAGAACAGTAGTCTACTTTTGCAGAGGATATATCCTTGATCCAGAAGATAAATAGTTTCTAATATTAAAAAAATGAAACTGCTCAATGTGTTAATTTGCCAGAGGATAGTCGAAACACTTCACAAGAAGTCTTTTTAATTAGGGCTGAGGACTCCCAACAATAAAACAAGTAGAAAGTTCATGTGTAAATAAATGGATTTATTGCCCAGATGGCTTGGTAATACGGGACTACGGAAATCTGCAGTACGCCGTGGACGAGCCCCTTCTTCAGCAGCAGCGGGTGCACTACCACCACATCCGGAACTACGCGGACTTCATGGCCTGCAATCGGGCCCTGATCGAGCAGGTGAAGCTAATGCTCGCGGAGAACTCGCAGTTCCTGGCCATTGGCGGCGACCATGCGATCGGTTTTGGTGAGTGTCCGTGATCCTTATCCTTCGTCCTGCCGGAATCCAAGACCGAACGCCTCTTGCAGGATCGGTGGCCGGACACCTGCAGCACACGCCGAATCTGTCGCTGGTGTGGATCGACGCACATGCGGACATCAATCTGCACAGCACCTCGCAGTCGGGCAACATCCATGGGATGCCCGTGTCCTTTCTGCTGGAGCAGCTCCGGACCACCTGGCAGCACGCCGGCCTCCAGGATATCGCGCCCAACTGGTGAGTTTCTTCAAAAATATGCTTTTTAGACTGGCTTGTGTTTTAGTGTTTGCCCAAACAGATTTCTATACAAATGTCTATGGGTCCATATAATGCAAAGTAGGCTTTATTAACAAGTGACCTAATATGGATTTGTATAGAGAACATTTTGAGTTAAAACACAATTCAGTGGAAAAAATCACATTATTCAGATCGGCTTACAGCTAGACAAGCCGCACTTAAGACTCTCGGGGGGTTATTTATTCCATATTTTATATGTATATTAAATATTGTTGTTTTTTTTTTGGGGGCTTAGGGGTGGGGGTTTGCTGGGTGGGGGGTTTTTGGCGGGGGGTTTGTTCGCCTTATCACAGTTGCCTTAACGAACTAAGAATTATTTGTTTTTTTTTTTTATTCTTTGCTTTGACTCTTGTTTTTCGATTTGTTTTTCTCTGGTTTCATTTTTTATTTTTTGTGCTTGCCTCAGTCTTTGGGTTTAGTTGCTATCAACCTTTAATCTGCTTATTTATAGATTATTTAATTTACACATTGCTTTTGCCTTAGGCAGTTCGGTTTCGTGCTTTTCTTCCATGTTTTGGAAAGTCAGTCGAGAAGGTAGAAAACAAGTTAACTGAAGAGGGATCAAATTAGAGATCAGAGATCACAGTTATGTAAGAAAGGAACCCAATCCGGCAAAATTCCCGGAAATCAAACGAAAATTCGATCTCTACTCTCGCATTCTATATCGTATCTAAATAGCGCTATACAACTATGCTTTATACTTAAGATCTCGGGGGGCGGGGTGGGACATGGTTGGTGCTTTTGTTTTTCGGTTAGTGATTTAGTAAAAACTCAAATTCTCTTCGACTCGAAATCAAAATATATTACTATACAAATCGGTACTCCTATGTACACGACAAATCACAAATAATCACACAGAACGGACAGAATGACTGGCACGGAATGAAAACCGAAATAAGAACGAAAACCGAAATCAGATTTATATACATTATCAGACGAAGACTCTCAACCAACTAAAGAAATATTTAAATGTTTCAACTCAGTTGAGTTTGTATAATTCCAGTTATAACATTTCTTACACAGAATAAATCATTGACTTTTCTTAAGCAAGAAGATAAAAATATTCAATTATAAAAAAAATATATTAAACCAATATTTAATTTTATATATAAAACGATATGAATAATTCTACATATTATGTAAATTTATCTTTGTAAAAGGATTGAAATGATCTGAAGATACTTCTGTGTGGTAAAAAGGACTTTTTGACTTGGAGTCATTAGCGTAATAAATGTCTGACTACCATTTGGTAATTTTTGTCTTAGTTTTTGAGTCATCGTTGGATAGTGGTTGGTGTGAGGATGGTGGGTTGTGCATAGCTGGTTGAAAATCAAATCTATAAACTAGAAAAAGCTTTCAAATTCTTTGAAATACAAAATTATCTGTGGCTCGCTAAGGTTTTCTTTTGAAATTACAATACAAAACTTAAGTGTTTCTCTGTGTGTACGTGTGTGGGGGATACAAATCATGTATGTACATCAAATGTACATCAATTGAGAGGAATTTGGGAACTGGAATCTAGGATTGGGATCTGTGGACATTTGTGGTTTATGCTTTAAATAATTACAATTAATATTAAAGTATCAATCAATTAATATAATTACACAATCATTATCGTTTTAATTAAGTAATCAATTAATTAATTTAATCGAAATTCAACTTGAAGAAATGTGTTTGAAATATATTTTGTTTGTTTTTGGTTTTTTTTTTTTGCATAAATTCAATTTAAAATCGAACGAACAACAAGAACACACGCCTGAAAATAAATCAAGAGAAAGAAACAAATTAGAAAATGCTTCGTAAATTATTATACTTGCTGCAGGATTTTCATGTGTTAACTTTACAGTTTTTTTTGCTACAAATAGATCAATAAAAAGAGAATAAAACCATTTAGAGAAATCATCAGTTTGGCTGACAAAATGTTTATTGGGAAAAAACGTGTGCCAAAATAGTACAGATCGGCGTCATATCGGTTTGATCACCGTCGCGCTATCTTCTCCGATTACTTACCAAAAAATCACACGAAACAATAAAAGTGAGTGAGGAATACGAACAATATATAACAACGGCAACAACGAACTGAAAATCGAAAATCTGGAAACGAAAATCGGCTACGGATCGATCGGGTATATGTATATATATATAGTCGGTCCACAACGAAAGGAACGAAAAGGGGAATCAACTCAAATGTCAAAATCGGATCGTATCTTCATTTCAAAGTAATGCCCTCCACAACATCATCATCTCGTTAAATCTTCCTTCTTAGCTGGCTTTATACACTGGGACCAAAGAAGCGTACTTTTAAAATACACTGAGCGAAAACATAAGAGCAAACAAAGAGCATACTCTTTTCGAGAGGGGGCACACAACAAACTGAAACAAATTTTGGAAATAGAGTGATTTGTGTAGCTGTGTGTAAGTGTGGGATACACTGTAAAAACAATATTTTTATATCGATAGAAAGGAATCAAAGAAAGAAAAAGGATGAAAAGATGAAAAAATGGCATTAGAAATAGGGAAAAAACCCAAATTGTTCCAAAGGGAAATCAACATTTTTTAACTCAATCATAACTATCAACGAAATTCCAACATAATCTAAATTTAAATTCAAATGAATCAAGAACCAGCTGAAATACAAATAGAAAATTAAGGTAACCAAAGTTAAACTGAATCTTGAAACAAAAGTTCGTTGTGTTCTGATATATACTATATAGAGAGATACATATATATGCAAAAAGCAAGAAAAACTCATAATCATATATTTTGAAATACATTTATAATATTAATATCTTTTTCTCTTTTGCTTGTATTCTTTTTTTTGGTTTTGTTTTGTTTTCCATTTTGAAATATCATTTGAAATGTGTGATAAATATTATAATTAATTAATTAATCGATATAAATATGTTAATAAAATAAATTAAATAGTTTCCTCCTTCTCGTCATCGTCGTCTGCATCATTTTAACCATAATAATATATATAGAAAGGTATATATATACTTGTTGTTGTTGTCAATGATCATTTACGGTATCATTTGTGTAATCGTTATCGCTATCGCTAAGCATCTCCTGTTCTCTGCCCATCGAAATGATAGAAAAACTTTGCTCTAAAAATTACAAAAATTACACACAATTAAGCAATACAAGGATACAGGTTCAAAATCATACACAGAACATGTCGCGACATGTTCCCACATTTATGTAAATCGAGGGAGTGGTGACTGTACTTTCTCCGATAAACTAAACTATGAGATTCGTTAATCATAAGCGCTAAACATAATGGCATTACAAAAATTAAAAGTATTCTCGTTTGCACACAAATAATATCGCAACTGGCAGAGTCTCTAAACTGAGCAACAAAAACTGGAATGCATGTCTTTGGGGTTTTTTTTTTTTACGGGGGATCCCCCTTTAGATCTTAGGGTTACGAGGACTGAACCAAAACTGGGACGATCGGGAATGTATTTTTAGCTGAGATCAACGGATTCCCGAGGGCACCTCTTTAAAGAAGGGCCTTGACTAGATCGATTCCTATATCTTTGAGTGACCGTCTGGTTTTTTTAAGTGTTTAATAGAGAGATAGAGAGAGAGAAAATAATCCTGGGGTTTCAGGACCGGGAAAGCAAATAGTTTAAGGTAGAAAAATCATACAGTTAAAAAAACAAACAAAAACCAAAAAGGGAACAAATAAATAAAAATGATGCTAAAATTTTCATCAAGTGTTTTTTTATTGAAAGTAAATTTTTCTTCATTTTTTTTTTTTACTTGTTTGGTGCGGAAATAAAATGAAATCATAAGAGTAAACATAAATTTTAAATGGATCGTAATTGTCAAACATAATTCGTTGCATAATTAGATCAAAAAGCAAAATACACAAAATCAAAGAAAGGAAATAAACCATATTAAATAAACGTAATCATAATCATTCGATAGGATTCACAGGAATCTTTCAGCTAACGTGGGTTTACATGGTAACATACACACAGATCGTATATAGCTAGATATTAACTAAAACTGATGTGTTGTGTTCTCGTTGCTGTGACAAATCAAATGGGTATTGTTTAAAATCATAAATTATAACTAAAACTGAAACAAAAAAGGTATTTGCTGAAACGAAATCAAAATAGTTGGTAAACGAAATAAAATACAAGGTACAAAATTAAAATTAAACCAAACAATGGGGTAAAGAGAGAGATATTGAGAAAAGGGGAGATTGGGAGAAGATTGAGAGTTCTGAAGTTATAGATTTCCGATATTATATAGCCGCTCATTCTCTCTCTCTTTCTCTGTTCATGTGTTCTGTGTATAATTAGACTAATGAAGACATCTTAATCTTCATCTTCTTCTCTTTGCTCAAAATCAAAGGAATATTGAATTCAAATTGAATTAAATTAAATTACGTAATTATAAAAATACAATAAATAATGTTTTTGTTTCGTTTCCGTTTGTTTTCTTGGTTCTTTGCTTACTTAATTAAATATGTAAAGAAAAATGATGAGATATAAATATATGTACGCGAAATACATATCAAATTCGCTTAAAAAATAATTGTTGTATATTTTGTTAAATTTTTTTTTAGTTGCTGTGGCTTGCTTTTGTTTCTCGTATATAGAATAATGATGGTTTAAGTTACATATTCGTAATAGATTCCATTTTTCGCTTCTCGTTTTCTTTACTTAATAAAATTATAATTTGTAATTTATAGTTTGAGATGCTTGAAAATTTGTTGCTGTTGTTTTGCCGTTAGTTGCATTTTAAAACTATTGCACAAGTATTAGAATTAATACAATTAATTAGATCATCAATGACAAAAAATATAAGTATATATATTAAAGAATTAGTTAATTAAATTAAATATTTAATATACATATATATGTGTGTGTGTGTGTGAGAGTATGTGATGACAGAAATACAAATTAAACAAAATCAAGTACATAATCTTCGCTTCCACAGGATTTCCTTGCTGTTTTCCTGTCCTACAGTGTGTGTTCCTATGCGGGTGTATAAATAAACTAGCAGATTGTATATAATGTATTGCAAATTTATCCGGAGAAGCAGCAAGTCAAAATTGGGCATTCCGAATTGTGACTTGATGCTTGACCTTTGCATTGCTCCCTTCTGTCTTGAAGGGGTTTCGAGGGCTAAATCTTTGGAAAGGGGAGAGCAGGCCAATCTGATCAATCGTTTTATTAGCTAGAAATTGCCATAGTTCTTTTGGTTTGATCCACCATTCTTCCCTATATGCGGCTGCCTCGAAAGTTCTGCCTCCTTCATCGTAATCTTCTTCTTATCCATCTTCTGACTAGATTTCTTGTTGCGAATTTTGTTCAAACAAAAAAAAGATTTCTTTGTTGGCCTATAGTTATACAAAAAAAATAATTATTTTTAGGTAGATATATATAAATATATATCTGATTACACATAGCGCTAAGTATCGTAATAATAATCAAATTTAAATCAATTTCTATTTCGCTTTTCGGGTTCTGTTCAATGCTTGTTGAATCTTAGGTTTAGAATTTATGCTATTTGGAGAGAGAACTCAAAATCGGTTGGGGTTGTGTCATCTTAGGTTAACTTTATAAACAAATCAAACACAAATCATTCGTATAAATATGCATGGTGGGGTCTGACTGGTTTTATGGATTGGATGCAGGAGCCTATTATCAAATCTAATTCGTATACCAAGCAAACAAAGAAATCAAACAAAACTTAATTTAAATACGGAATATAGAGAATCCAGAATCGAAATTAAATATGTAAATATTTATGTGTGTTCGGTGTGTGTCTCACTCTTTCGCTATAACAATCAAAAAAATACAAAAAATATACAGAAGTTCAACTAATAAGTAACGCAAAAATTGCACAAAAATTTTAGGATTGGACATGGTGTTAATGGGATTTTATATATGTAGGATGTGCTGGGAGATATCCTCGTCAATATGTATCCCTTCCCTTTATCCTTTTTTAACTTACTTGGCTAGAGAAATCGGTTTGCTAATGCTTTTTTTACACCCTTAATTCATTTCTTTTAATTTTTTTGGTTTTTACTTTGTTTTAAACTGTTGTCATATAAAAAATGGTTGTTGTTGCTGATGTAATTTTTGTTTAGTAATTGTTTGTGCTACGCTTTGTTTAAACGCTAAAAATGTTTCGGTTTAGCAAGTATTCTTTTAATATTTTTGTTTATGCTTTCTTGCCCTTGAACTATACATTATATAAAGTATATAAGGTGTGCCTACGCCAGCATGTGCCTGTATATAGTGGACTATATACCTGCAACGCAGGTGCACACGAGCACAATTACAGTATTAATATTCACTAACAATTATTTACTTTAGTAAAACGTTTCAAATTTGCGCATAAATTATTGTATTACTTTTGTTTTCCGTTCGCTAACTTTCTCTTGATCATGCTATATGTTTTCTATATATTTTTTCAGTTTTCACTGTGTTTGGTTGTGCCTACAGGATATGAGTTTGGCTTGATTCAATCGGGTTTCGTTCTCTAGGTGTAGAAAACAAACACAAAACATACAAAAATTCGTTAAATTTCTATATTTAAGTGTATATCTAAATAGATATAGAATTATCGCATATACATATGGATATATATTTAGAATTATTAAACGTGCTCTGTTCGCCATTCGTTTGTTTAAGTATGTAGCTTTTGTTTTTATGTTTCTTGTAATACTGTAGCAGCCTCCATGTTATGTATATATCTATTATATGCGCGCGATCCTCTCAATCGCCTCTCGAATACTTTTTACCCCGCCCTTTTCGATCAAGCCAAACTGATGTCCTATAAGCACCATTTATAAATCCTAGACACTGAACTCCTCTAATTTCTTAATTCTGTTTTTTGTTTCCTTTTTTTTTTAGTATCAAGTTTCAAAGTTTTTATGGTAGAAAAGTTTGGAGTGTAACTAACAGATTTCTTTTTTGTTTTCATTTGTTTGGAAGATTTCATTGCTGCGTTTTACTTAAGGTTAATAAATTTTTAAAATTTCTCATTTTCTTTTTTGCTAGTTAAGTTAAATTTGTCTTAGTTTTGTGTATGTGTGTTTGGTTGATTTCTGTGTTTTGCTTTGCGACTAATTTGACTGCGGCAACCTTTGACCTTTCCACAGCTGCCAGAGTGTGTTTTTCATATTGCAATTTTTCCTTATAATCTCATTGTTCATTCTCACTCCCCCTGCTTTTTTTTGCATTCCTCTCTTCAACTCCAGGCAGCTTTTTTCTTTTGTTTGTTTCGTTTAGTTAATGATTTGTTACTTAAATGCTAAACAAGAAGAATTTTGCTATTGCAACGCTTTTGGCCGGCGGTTTTGGGGGATTGGAGAAGGATATTTATGTAGTTAAAAGGGTATTTTTTTGGGAAAGGGAGTTTCGCCGTTTCGTTGTGTCGTCATGTGGAGAGAGTACTTTCTCCTGCCTGTTACTTTCTTGTTTTTTTTTTTCGTGTGTGTTTTACACATACTGTTTTGTTGCGCTTAGTTACCGTTATACCATGCATATTTATATATGTGTATTGTGTGTGGGTGTCAGGATGTTTAGATTCAGGATAATGGTTTTTGGGGGTGCTGCTATATCCTTATCCACGCTTCCACTTGGCCCGCTCTACTTGGCCTTGTTGGTCTTAAAGCTGACCTGCAGCACCCGATTGCCCATGGTGTAGCCGTTGAGCGCCCGAATGGCCATGGCCGCCTCATCGTAGTTGGTCATCGAGACGAAGCCGTAGCCCTTGCACTGGTTGGTTGTGGGATCCTTAACGATCTTCACCGATTGCACAGCCCCAAAGGGACCAAACAGCTGCCACAGCGCTGCCTCCTCCGTTTCCGGTGCCAGATTGTAGATAAAAATGGGATACGCACCGCCTGGACCGCTGGCCAACGTTGTGGCCGCCGCCGCCGCCGCGCCTAGTCCATTGGGCAGCATTACGTCCAGCATGTCGCCGGCCATTGGTGAAAACCGAGCCAGTCCCTTGTTAACCGGCGTATGCATGGCGCCACCAATGCGTCGCACCAGCTGGGGATTGAGGAAAGCGGGCAGCGGTGGCTGGATGATCTTGCTGGTGCTGCCGGGCGTGTTGGAGAACTTCACCACAATGGGATCCGTGCAGCTTGATGGTGTTGTGCCATTTAGCGCAATGATGGCCCGGGTGGCCTCCTCCCGCTTATCGAATCGAATGAAGCCCACGCCCTTGGTCTGCGTATCGTTTCCGGCATTCTGCAAAATGCGTGACGTGATTATGGCTCCAAAGGGGGCGAAGATGGCTTCCAGTTCCTGCTGGGTCATCGTCTTCGGCAGCCCCGACACATACAGATTGGCTCCCTTGATGGCATCTGACGAAGGGCGGGCAAACGACACCTTGATGGTCTTGTTCTGCAGTCGCAGACCGTTCAGCACATTGACTGCCTGCTCGGCATCCTGCGGCCGGACATAGTTAACGAATCCGTAGCCCAGACTTTGGCCCTTGCTGGGCGCCTGCGGATTGAGGGGATCGATGTAGACCTGCGACTTGTCGCGTATCAGCTTCACCGACTCAATCTCGCCGACGCTGGAGAAGAGCGAACGGATTTCGTCCTCGGTCATTGTTTGCGGCAAGTAGTTGACAATGAGATTTGTGCGCGTCTCCGTGCTGCCGTTGCTGCCATTTTGTGATCCCGACCCGGCATTGCCATTGGTATTGGGCTGCGCCTGCTGCGGCTGAGGAACCACTGCCTGTTGGACTGCCGCCTGCTGCACCACCGCCGCCGCCTGTTGCTGCTGTTGCTGCTGCTGCACCACCGCTTGCTGCGCCACGACGGCCTGCTGCTGCTGTTGGAGCTGCTGGGTAACCGCGGCAGCCGCAGCGGCCACAGCCTGCTGTGTTTGCTGCTGCTGCACCTGCAGGATCGCCTGCTGCACCTGTTGCTGCTGCAGCTGGGCGGCAGCGGCCACGGCGGCTGCATTCTGTACGGGAGCGGCGGACGCACTCGTTGCCGCCACCGCAGCGGCGGCCGCTGCACTCTGCATTAGCTGCGCCTGTGTTTCCACTCCGCCGCCGGCTCCGGTATTTGCCATCATAAAGTCCACTGGGTGGTGGGATCGGGAGGATTCGATAATTTAGAGTTGGTTGACACGACCAACGCAGGGGCAGGCGCATGGAAAGAATAGTTAAATGTCAAGATTAAACCATTTGCATGATGTGTTAGTAGTTCTTTGTTGTATATATCTACGGTTACTGTGGGTTAGTGGGTATACAATGTGCTATATATATTAATAGGTTTGTTTATTGATTGGTTTAGGTTTAACTTGTACATTATTGGGTCCCGCAAGGAAATATTTAGTTATGTATGTGTGTATATTAATGTATGTATGTGCATGAGTTCTGAGAAGTTCTTTATGATCCCAAAAGTGTCCCATACAAAAAATGTCCTTGTAATTTGAATAAGCCTTATCTAACTACCCTATCAGTCACCTAATCCTGTTCAATCCGTAGAAAATGTACTTTTTTATATTAAATTAAACATTACATTTTATTATTATTCTTAAAGTAGTTTTATTTGTTTCAAAATTTTACATTAGATTTGACTTTTAAGATCGTTTATTCCTTCGAAATTTCTTTATCAGTTTTAAAATGTATTTTTTATGTGTTTTCATTTTTTAAGAAAATTATTCAGTTTATTTGAGTTTAATGCTTTTTTATTTCGTTTTATACAAAAAATTTGAATATTCCATGCTAGACTAGTGAGATTTTCAACATTTAAATGTTAAGCGCCTGAACTTGTTTGCATTACTGGTCTGCAGTTTATGAGAAATTAATAACGTTTAAATTACTTTTACGGATTTGTTTGTATGTACAACCTATTCTTTGAACCGTTGATTTTCCAACAAGACAAGATACATTTTCCATGGTTTCATGCATTCTAAGGACATTCTAGGCTTGTCTGCATTCTCCCTCACTTTGGTTAGCGGTTAACGGTTAGTTAAGGGAGCTTTGCTCACTGGCGCCGCCCAGCGGCCCACTTTCTCTTCCAGCCACTCTTTCTCGGTTTCTACTCCGTCCTCTCTCACCCACACCCGCCTCCCGCACAAACAGTCAAAGCTCCACGAACCCCGAAACACACAGACACACACTTAGACAAACACACACCTTCGGCACTGGAAGAACTGAACTTTGCTGGATTTGCTTTTGCTTTGTCGTTAATTTCAGCCTTTTTTTGTTGCTTTTTTCTGCGGTGTGATTTTTTAAATTATCCGTTTACTGGTTTTGATTTTATATATTATAGTTGTTTAGCTTTTGGTTACAGAGCGAAGGCGCGACCAGATCCGCTGCGTCACAGGCACAGGATGCTTCTGAGGCGAGCGCAGGACTTTCTGGCCAGGCTTTGCGCTCTAGTCACTCTTTTGCTCTTGCTCTCTCCCTCTCCCCGTCCCCATACCCCTCCCAATCAACTTTTTCCTTTTCGGCAAACTGTTACAGCGCTCTCCATTTGTGTGTATGTGCGTTGTACCCCGCCCAGTTATGTAATGTGGCCGCCGGAGGGCTAAGGGGCTAGGATAGAATATGCGAGAAATCAACTCGCACCCCTTGGGAAAACCACCAAAAATGAGCAATAGTCAGGACCCACCCTTAGCCAAACAAGTTGTAATATTTCCTTTTGCGAAACGCAGAACGGCGTCTTCTATGTACAAGCGGAACTTGCCACCGCTTAAGGGTTAAACGCGCGGCATTGCCACCCCCTAAGCCGGGTCGTTTGGCATTTACATGACAACGCTGCAAAAGCGCAGAGAGGCTGCACCAGGAGAGAGGGGGCGGCTAAAAGAGAAATAGAGGCTGTTGCTTGAACTAAAACTAGCGGATGTTTCGGTTCAATGAACTAAGTGCGAGTTGTCCAAAAATGCGATCGCTGAGGAAATGACAGCATTTTGATGATTTGCATATGGACACTATAGTAGGACTTCTTTAGGGTGTTTCATTTACCACATAAGATTAAAAAATCGATCCACTACCACCGATACGACCTGATTAAGCCGGTTAAAATAGGGTAGAGACGCTCAAAAAGTCAACCTTTCAAATATATTTTAATTAATGGGAATGTTTAAACTGTTAATTAATTAACAAAAATTAACTCAAGTATGTTTGCAGGATAAATTGGTTAATACAGCATTTCATAATTTGTCAAAAAAATGTAACTAAATTTCCATTTAATTTCTACGTTTTAGAGATCCACCCTGTGCTGATAAAAAACTATATTTGAATACTTGAAAAGTTTATATAGAAAAAGCGAATCCCACTGAATTAATTGGCAGGCTAAATAAATGTATTTTGATTAGTTCGTATTGGGCAAGATGCACTGTGGTTTTTCAATCGCTATGCCGATTCGTTTTTTTTAGTGCCCACGAAAGAGTCAAAAGGTCACGCGTATAAACGTCGTCATCCCATTCCTCCCGTTTCCGCCCACTTTTGCCCCAGGGACACACAGACTTTGGTCTCACTCACTCAGCTATCGTCAAGGTAACTACAGTAGAACTTCTATTACTCTAACCACTATCTGCCAATACACATTATACACATTCCAGTTATGGGTGGGGTTAGAGTAATTATTAATTATTATTAATTAATTACTATTATTGATAAAATTTAGTTTGAGTTGGAAAATTTCTAGCTATTAAAGTTTGTATTGTTGTATTCCTTTGATCCCGCACCCTTTAAAAGATTTTCTCGTCCTGCGATCTTCGTTACCTATACCAAGCTCTCTTAGTCTAAATACTCACTTGTTATAGTTTAAGGAGCGAGTGTGTGTTGTTGTTTTTGGGGGAGGATGTTGGTTGATTTTGCTGTTTGTGAAGTGAATTAATTTGCTAAGTTTCTTGTTTCTTTTGCTTGGGAATCCTAATCCTTGTGGTACGCGCGCGCGCTCTCACGGCGCTCCTCCTTGCACTCTCTCTCACTCTCGCTTTCTCGCTCACACACTCTCCGGTGGTCCTGGACTTTCGTGTTGGATGTTGTTGTAATGTAATCGGTTTTTTGTTAATAAATAAACGCTGGCGTCGTCGTCGTCGCTGCCGTCTGATGTGGACAAAATCAAAAAATAAAACAAAACAAAAGAAGCGGTAAATTTGATGTGTTTGCTGGTTGTAGTTTTAGTTTTTGGTCTATTTGGGGGTGTTTGCGGTGTTTGTGTGCCTGTGTGTGCATGCGATGGTTATAGCAAATCAATTTTATCGATTTTCCACCTCAATCACACCATTTATTTCATATTTCACTAACAAAAAAGACATACAAAAAATATGATACATAGTAGCGGGAACATGTTGTTGTTTGTTATTCAATTCTATTGTGTGAGTGGCTATTTTTGCGTTATTTCAAATACCCAAATGCTCTTTATAACAGTATCTCTCGTTCTGCGGCTGCACTGATTTGTATATTTTTTTTTGTTGGTCGACGAGGGCTAAAGAGGGGGCGACGGGCGGATATACAATGTATGGCTGCTATTGTTTTTATACCCACATATACGGTTAGTGCGTGCGTATGTATTTGATTTTTTGTTAAAACGAATCGCGTTCTCTCACACAAACAGTCGCACACACGGGCACTTAGTATCTATAAGTTATTTGTTGTTGGAACTAAACACGCGCTACTGTTGTTGTGTTTTCGTTTCTTGGTCGAAAAATGTTTTTTGGATCTACATGTGGATCTGTGGAACTATCATAAGTTGCGTTTCCGCGCGTTTTCACCCAATTACAATTACAAACTTTTGCTACTACTACTACATTGGTTTTGTTTGAGCGTGTGTGTGTGCGTTTGCTTTTTATGGCAACCGGCGTTTTGTTTACTGCAAATATCTTAGCCTCCCACATACTCTCACCCTCTCACTCTCTCTCTTTTCGCCTGACAAAATGTCTACTTCTATCATTTAACTGTTCTGGTTGCTGTTGTTGTTGCGTACAATGCTCCTTGCACATAAAATCGATATGCTAGCTGCGCCCTTTTTGAAACTGGCGCTCTCTCGCTCTAGCACACACCACCTCTCACGCACATACACACATACAGTTGGGAAGCATTTACAGATACACAGCACAGAGGCGTCCCGTCTCGCATAAGCAGTAGATTTAAACGCAACTACTATCTCCGGACTGGACTAGCCGCCCCCCTCCCATTCTGACCAACCGCCGCCCATCTCTCCTCCGTTTGCTGAACTTTTTCGGCCCCTTCTCTCTTCGCCCTCCCCTGCCGAATTGCATATTGTTGTTTTGCCTATTAATATTTGTTTGAATGTATAAAACTTCGACACACACACTCACCCACTAGCGTATAGCGGGTAGGAAAAAAATAGATATATATGTGGACACTCAAATATATGTGTGTATAATTGCACAATTATGCAGCGCGGCGCGATCATTTTGCAAAAAAATTTTCAATTTCATAGCGTTTGTTTGTTGTTTGTTATTGTTTTTCGTTCGGTTGCACAAGTTACGGATATCCGAGAGATATTCTTACATTTTGTTTGAGATTCGCTTGTTGTAACTGCTCGGCCAATAGCTGTAGTTGTAGTTAGTCAACTCAACGGTTATTGTTTTGCACTACTTTCGAAAAAAAAATCAATTGCAGAAAGAGCACACAGGCACGAGATTTCGATTCGATTTCGATTTTCTTGGCTTTTCTTCTCGCTGTGGCAGGAGCGTTCAAACTGCGGCGCACGATGGTTGGCGTGGAAATGAAATGAAATAATGAAATGCGAAATTGAGGGAATGACGGTACGGTTTCGGTTTCCACATTGAGAAACCTCCCAGTTCAGTTGCTTTTGCTTTCGGGGTTGCAATACGTGTTCGAAGCGAACGTGGAACGCGAGAGAGGCAGAGAGTGAAAGAGAGTGGCGACATGGGCGTGTGTGAAGCATATTGTTGGGGTCGTTTTACTATCGGTAGATATTAAAAATGTACTACTTAAAGTTTATTAATTGACTTTAAATTTTTGTTTAGCTAAAGGTGGATCCTTACAATAGTTTTTGTTTGCTTAAAAAATTGTTGAATAACATTTCTATTTTAACAAAGGAAAAGTTTATTTCTGACTAGTGGAGAATAAATGTATATACTCTTTTATACTTATGCATATAAATGCTTTTTCAAGCACGGAAACTTTGGTTTAACCTGGAAACAAAATTTTGACGTTTTATTCCATGACCCCCTTTGATGCGTCCCTGCACTTTGGCTGCGCCCTCAGTTGTTCTATGCCGCGTTCAAACAGGCATCCGAAAGTTTTTCATGAAAATCATTCATAATGCTTATATTTTATCCCAGAAAATATACTTTTTATTTCGAATAAAAATCTACAAGCTCAGTCCTAAGTTTAAATTTTTAGTTTACAAAGTGCAATTCGAAGATTAAAGTGCCAGTGTAATAGCGGCTTAAGCCGAGAACTAAAATGGCGGTTACTCTCTGAGCCAGAGAAAGGGAGAGCGCGGAAGAGATGTCATTTCCAATTTCCAGCGCTGGAAAATGTTTGAATCCACGCGCCCGTTAAGCAATTTCTTTTAGTCGGTAACAAATTAAATTTAGAAATTGCTAGTTTAGTTTGTAAATAATTATTTAACAAATAACTTATATTCTCATACAATTTTGTTAATTCATTTAAATAAGTCATACTTTCTAAGACGGCTAGAGTTGCCACCGCTCGTCCATCGAGCAGCGAATTCGCCGTCGTTTTGCACAAACACCCATTAAGTCCAGAGTTCTATGCAATTTGACGATCGTATGGGTATTGCTATTGGAAATCATTGCTATAGGCTTTTTCCAACGAGGTCGTCAACCGTTTTATGATGCACGCGACCATTATCCTTGCCAAATAGCCTCGTTCTAAGGGCTGTTTTGGGCTTATGGTTCCGTTTCCTTTATTTTTTTTTTGCACTAGCAACCACCAACGCCAACGGTTGGGGTGGTTTCCGCATGCAGCATGCCTCGTACACCCCCTAGCCGAGAAAATAAAACCCAAAAACAAGGACCCAAGACCCATTTTCAAGAGCCGGTTCAATTTCAACACACTGCAGTCCTGTCGCTTTTCAATGTTTCCCTTCGTTTTTGTTGCGTGCGTGTGCTTAATTGCGCTTGTATTCGGCACTCGGCACTCGACACGCCACATAGTATATACTATATGCCATGTATCGCATATAGCCACCCTCCGACACCCCCAACCCTTGTAATTTCCTGTTCCATGTGCTGATTTTTTACCCTGTTCCAGTAGGACGCTCTGTTCCAATTTACAAACAGAAGACGAAGTCTCAGACTCGCGAAATAAAGTACAGAGAATTCCTGTTGTAAGAAACTATTGTGGCGTTTTGGTTACCTCTCGCCATTTAAATAAATAACATGAGCTTTTTTTAGCGACAGCAACAAATTATATTACGAAATGTGTTTATTTTTAATTGCAGTTTTACAGTTCCAATGGGTTTACTATAGCGAGGGTTTACTGCACGTCGGGAAGTGTAACGCAACTTTTGGCCGGGGATGGTTTTTGTCGTCCTTTCCAAAGGGTGGTGAATGTTGTTGGTGGTGTGGTGCTAGTGGCAACGGAAATGTTCTGGGGTGGTGCTTCTGCTGTCCTCACAGGATATGCGGATTCAGATTCAGACAGATCGGCGTCGCAAGTGTTTGTTTAGTATACAAATCTGCATATGTGTGTACGTCCGTTTGATGTTTGATATGTTAAGCTTAAAGGCCATCCAATGGTGGTCGAATTAATGGATTCGCAAATCAAACTTAAAGGAAGATTTTGCAAAATTACTTTCCTACTACTTTTAAACCGTCATGTTTTAAAATTAAATTTTAGGAATCTAGGAACACATTTGTTTTTAAGACTTGTATGGCCTATAGAGTTTGGGGGTATCTAGATTTTTTTTATACATTTTTAGAGCTTTAACTCATATGGACATTTAGGACCACCCAATAGATAAGAGTGAGTGTTATCGGTTTCAGGATGGGATCATTGATAATACCATTAAAATTACATCAGCTTTTATTTCGCTGACGCATGCTGATAGTGAAAGTTGGCGGTCACGTGCTCTCCTTTCTCCCCGTATTTCTCACAGTCGCTTCTACCCCAAAACAGTAGGCAATACAAGTTTTAATTTTAAAACATTCGAAAGAAGACGAAGTACAAAGGAAATTCAAAGGGTTGCCTAATCCGTTTTAGCCACGGCAGAAACAAAACACAAACAACAACCGCCTGGCGTTACAACAAAGCGGGATTAAAAAAGCAGGCCCAACACAAGATTACAACAAAGCCGGGAAACTCAATGGGATGGGATGGTCTGCTCTTTTTTTCCCGGCTCGAAGGGGAGGGACTCCGAAAAAGCAGTTGCCCACCCTTAGCGTTACATAAACACCTAGCCAAATTGAATAGCGGTAACAAAAACGAACCGAACCGAAAGCTATGCTGCACCGAAAAGCAGGAGACACGGGAACCAGGACCAAACAGGAAATGCAGCCGAAAGCGAGACTGGGCATCGTCCATGCAGTACACTCGCAAATTAGATCCCGACTTCCAAAAAATCCCATCTCCTTTGATAAATAAACTTAAACGAAGGGGGCAGATATTTAAAATGTGCCTTTTATTAGCCTAGCTTTTATTATCATCACCCTATCGGCTAAAAAAATGTAAAACGGTTGATAATTAATTGAATATACATCAATCTGCATTCAAAATATTTAAAACTGTCAACAACAAATTGTTTACAAAATGTCGAGTTTGGTTTTAAAAATGTTTTAAAATGTGTATGTCTGTTTTAGCAGAGCCAAGTAACATTTCATAAAAAATAAGTACAAGTTTTTTGATTGCATAAAACTATTTAGTTCAAATGTTAATATGCACTGTCAATCTGCTGGAAAAATATGAAAAAAAAGTTTCGCAGTCTTAAGAATTAATATTGGTTTTCTAATTTTTTTTTGCAAAATTTCTCAACCGAATTTATCTGAGCTAATGAAAATGGATTGATTTTTGTATTAAGATTTAATCGTAAGAAAATATTTTTTTCAGTGAAACATATATATTAAAAATATTGTCTAAGCCTGTTGAAGTACGGGGTTAACTTTAGCGTTCTAACAAACCAAGATCCTTTAATTTCGTTGTGTGTATTCATCGGGCGACAGCCACCCCCTTCATGGTCCTTTCTCTTTCGAATATTTACATAATGATCCTTAGGGCGCTTTTAACTTTGCACGTTTCACTGCACAAATGTCCGCGATCTCGAGCCGGATCCGGATTCGGCAGGCAGGAACCTAACCGATCCGTAGCGATCCGCAGCTGAGGACTCGGCTACGGCGACAGATGCAGTTTCCCCCGAAACTAATAGTAATAATCATAAAAATTACCATAAGAAACCGGGTTCAAAGTCCAGGAGCAATGCACGATCGATGCAGGCATAGAAAACAGGGGAGGGGTGCAGTCGTATAGGCATAGAATGTATGTGTGGAGGGCAGGGGGATCGCAGGACATTTGGCACTGAATCGTGGCATGTGTTTCCCCTCTCCCATTTTGCCGCCGGCGGCATTGTTTTCCATTTGTGTTGTGTTTTTGTTGCCGTTTTTCCTATCTTTCCTATTTTTCCTATTCAGACATTTTCACCATTGTCGCGGTGCAGGCTGCTCTCGTTGTGAATCCGATTCGGCTGCAGTCCTTGGGGTTGCGATCGTGATCGGGCCAAAGACTTGCCACCTGGCCTACTAATCAGGATCACGAATGGCAAACGCCAGTGGGTGAACGGAGGTGGGGAGAGGGGCAGGACCAGGAGGCTGTCAGAAGTTGTAAAACATTTGATTTTGCCAATGAACATTTAAAATTTATAAATGATTTACTATGCTATACGTATTAGATCGTTTGTCAAATTAATCAAACCTAGAGTTTTTCTTATAGGTAGGTAGAGTTCATTTTGGGAATTCATTTAACCTAGGAATTAAAAAAAATCATAAAAATTCCTATTTCTAAGCCCCTATAGGGTATTATTGAGAAATAAAGGACAATAAAATTGTTGTTTTTTTAAATACACTCCGAGATTTAGTAATTTTGATGATTTCGTTTTCAGTTTCATACAAATCGGACGACCATAGGAAATATCGGTAAATGGCATGTAAATTATCAGAACTTCCTTGTTTTACATGTTTATAAATTGTTCAATTTGTAGTTTGATGTGTAGACATATAGTTCATATTTTAATAGTCTTCAGTTTATTTGGAAAAATACGATCACATCTCGTTAAAAAAAACACTTTTAAAGTTGTTTGATCAGGGAAAATAATAATATCATATTGAAAGAAGAGAAGTATAAAGAGGCATTATGTTAAAATAAAATATTTTTATCCCATTTTAACATTGTGAGAAAGTGAGCAAGCTGTCAGATTTGGTGAGGATCAATAAGTTCCTTTAAAAAAGGCTCTGAAAAGGTCGAACGAACCTGATCTCAAGACTAACAGTGTGGGATTCCCTTATGATCACTGAAATGTTTCTAATATGATTAAACCTCAACTGAGTAAACATAATTGCTGTTGAGCCTGATTAGACTTTTATAAAAACAAATGGCATCGACTAAAAAATATATGGTTTATATCTCAGGGATATCTAACGGATATCGTAAATAAATTAATAAGATGACTACAATTTAAATGACTAATGAACCTTATTTAATCGAAACTTCTAAGAGTAATCTTACCTGACCTCACGCAATATTTGAGTTGCAAGACTTAAACACGATCCTTGGAACCTGGAGTTTCATTGAACTTAAGGACCCTCCCCTTTATTGAGGATCGGAGACCAGAAGGTTCCTTAATGATCCTCGAACCATTTTTTTTACCCAAAATGCAAGACAGCCCGCACTTTGTGGGCTTCTCGTGTTTCTTCTTCATCTACTTTTTAGTTCAGTGATCCTTCGACTGGAACCCACGACTATTTGTTTACACGTCAGCTGTTTGCGGCCCACCCACTCCCCTGAACTATCCATGTTCCCATATGGAAAAGGCCCCAATCCCAATCCCAATCCCATTCCCATTCCTATCCCTTATTCTTATAGTTTGCCACGTACTGTTCTCTCGCATTGATCTCACTGTGTTCTGCTTGTCATTTCAGTTTGCCCAAGGATCAGTTGGTTTACATCGGACTCCGGGACATTGACCCCTACGAGGCGTTTATACTGAACAAAGTCGGGATACGCTACTATGCGATGGATGTGAGTACACTTAGCGAAAGTCCACTGTTCTTATCATCAAAATCACTTGTTCTTTCCACCATAATAATCAAATCAAAAATACTTAGTCAAGACGTATTAAAAATAGAAGATGACGAACATGTAGTAATGGTGGTTGCAATTTAATGGAACATGATGATATATTTAAATTTTAAATGCAATATTGTAATATTTTAAATATGCTTTTTATATATTTTTTTGCTGTGTAGAAACTAGAGAAAGGCTGTGGCACCTAGGTAGAAAGCCTTGATCGTCCTTTTACCGAATTGCATTTCATTTCACTGCATTCCAGTTTGGTTTCTCGGCTCTGACGATCCGATCCGATCCGATCCTTTACTGTCTCCCTGGCAGTTGTAAAAATTGTAAAATTCCGGTTTCTCCCCCATCCCTGTTTATAGGGCAGGATCGGATGACGATCGTGCGTGACTGCCGAGGGCATTACACAGAGGTCCTTCGTCCTGCGTCCACCGCTGTGTGTGTGTGCGTTGTAAGCTTGGCATTTATAGGGGTTGTCACAGACCCTACTACCCCATCCCACTTTTGCCACCCCCTGTTACAGGACTTCCGATCCGATGCGATCCTGGAAACGAGAAACGGTGGTGGTGACTCACACAAAATTACGTGCCTGGCCACATCCGCATCCTTGTCAGGGACGGCTCGTTGCCCATTATTTATGGCTCGTGCAAAATCGACGTCTGTTGAAAAATGGTTTTAATGCCCTCGCTCCCGATTTCGCTTTGAATTTCCGGGCCAGCCAAAGCTGCAAATTTATTATCGCTCATTAGTTCGATCGGAATTGGAATATTTTCCAATAGATATGCGAAAATGCGACCAGGGGGAAGTGGTGAGGATTTTGCAACTGCAATGGACGGGGATTTTATTTTTATCGCTAATACTGTACAGTAGCGATAACGAAGTATAATTGATGAAGAAAGTAAAGAGGTTGAATTTGTTGGTCATTCTAATTAATAACAAAACATAAATCAGGCCGAAGGACTTCAGTTTCCAGTGCCATTTTCTGTTCCATTAATTTTAGTATTATATACTAGTTTTAATTTGACAAAAAAAATATATAAATCGACTGATCTCGAGCTTATCAATATACCAAAAATTATACCCTTATTTTTAAAAACACTGTTCAGTTATCAATACTTATTTGCCACAAACATGTCTAATAGATCATAACTTAAAGGAACTCTAACTGAATTTAAATTGGAAAATCCAATTCTATATATACAACATGAAAGATACTAACGTAAGACTTTCATACGAAATTAAAAACTTGATTTAGATTTCATAATCCTTCACCGCCCAGAAAGACATTTATTCACATAACATTCCCTGTTTGGCGAAAATATGTCCAACCACAGAGAATAATGCCCTTTGTTTTGCCGCTCCGTTAACAGACCATCGACCGCGTGGGCGTGCCCAAGATCATCGAGATGACGCTGGACGCACTGAATCCGCAGAATAAGATCCATGTGAGCTTCGACATCGACGCCCTGGACAGCAATGTGGCGCCCAGTACGGGCACTGCCGTGCGAGGAGGCCTCACACTCCGCGAGGGCATCAGCATCGTGGAGGCACTAAGGGACACCAAGCGGGTGCAGGGGGTCGATCTGGTGGAGATCAACCCGAAGCTGGGCAGCGAGCGCGACGTGCGAACCACCGTGGAGTCCGGCCTGGAGATCCTGAAGAGCATGTTCGGCTACCGACGCTCCGGCCACTGGAGCAACATCGACACCGGCATCCTGGGCAGCGATTAAAGAACACAACACCGCCAGCTTGAACTTATCAATATTTATGTACAACATTTTTTCCATATTTGTATGTGCCTTTTTTTTTTTCGTACCTTAATGAAAGAATACAAAAATTAGTTTAAAGTGACGGGGGAAGATTCGGTTAGCAGATTGCAGAGTGAGATTCGCTGGCATTGTAAAGGCTAGAGGCCAGCTTTGAGCTTCGGTGGCGCCGTGGGCAGATACGCCGAGATGTCCACGTTGGCCATCAGATTGGCCGTGTGCAGCAGGTCGTTGACGGGCGGCGCTGCGGCAGCCTGGGCGGAAACCGATAATGGAACAGCAGCAGCAGCGGGAGGAGCGGCCTTGGCATTGGTCAGCCGCTGGTACATCTCCGGAGCAAAAGTGCGCAGCAGGCGACGTTGGATGCCCAGTAGCAGTGAATTGATGGCGCCCGAGATGACAATAATTCCGGATATAATCGAGCACAGTCGGATGGCGAAGGTGACCAGGTGATCGCGGTCGTTGCCCACCATAATCTTGAGAGCTGACCAGTCGTACTTGAAGTAAATTCCAGGAGAGCCATACGAGTTTCGCTCGGAATCTGTTGGATTAAAGGAATCGATTAGGCAAAAAAAAAAGTATAAAGTTAACTTAGCTATTTCTAACCATTTGTTTTTTCAAGTTAATCTTTAAAACAAGAAAGTTTTATCTCTATTGAAAAGGTTTCCAAAATGACCTGTTTTATTATGTAATGCGAACTATTTTTCTCAGTGCTTAAAATAATTTGAGTTCCAGCTAAACTACGCTTCCTAAAATGTAGCCCGCTTCACCTAGTTGCTCACCTAGTTTCCGCACATTCTCGGTGACGGCGTACTGAAAAGTATTGATGGTGCTGAATGTCTGATGGATCTCCGTGGGCACGACCTTCAGGAAGTATTGCACAGTGGTGGCCTCCTCGTGGATCACTGTCTCGTCGCCCTCCAGCGGCTGGACAATCCTCCTCGAATACTGCCCGAAGCTAAGCCGATTAATGCGATGCGTGAAGTTCGCCGGCATGCGCCGCAGTTCGATCATCCAGTGGTCCTCGAAGAGTCCGACCACGGGCTGTGCTCCGCCCACGAGATGGAGCACTCCGGCCACCTTATTGATGCCCAGAGTTCCGTGCAGACGACACGCATCGAACTTGTTCTCCGGCAGGGCAACCCCGTTGTTCTGGCCATTGGGTTGGTGCAGGTCCATCACCACCGGCAGAGCACCTGGCGGCGGGGCAGCGGGCATCTGGGAGGGACTCTCCCGCGCCGGATGCGGATCCCGCATGATGTCCTTGAACAGCACATCGGCCACCGAGTGGAACTGCTCGCGCAGATAGTGATTCTGGATCTGAATGGCGTGGAACTGCAGCCGGTCGTGCTCAGACATTTCCCACCAGACGCCCTCGCGCTGCAGTGTTCCGTAGGCAAACACATCCTGCTGCGTCTCGTCCATTAGATCCACGCCGGATAGCGAGGCGCAGGGCATGGCCACCGTGATGTCCACGTGCATCTGCACCTGCTCGTCCAGGGCGATGTCCGGTTCGAATTGGTACACAATGTCCGTTTCATGCCAGTAGTAATGCAGTTCCGTGTAGACCAGGTACACAATCAGCAGGCGGCTCAGAAGGGAGACTGTGGAATGGAGAGATTATGGATTATCCAGGGAATGCAATAACATCAAACCGGCTTACGTGTCCCCCCGATTTCCGTGGTCTCTGTGTACTTCTCCGGTACTTTTTTGAACGCATCCAAATTCTTGGCAAACTCCAGGAGATTGCTTTTGTCGCCACGATAACGCAATGTGGCCGTCATCTTGGTGGGCGGGTTGGGAATGGGATCGAGATTGGTAACAAATGCAGATTTGCACGATCAGTTTGTTTTTGACCAGAGTTTCAGTTGCAGTTTCATTGCCACGTACTCCGAAGCTCGACAGGCGCCGCCCCCGGTTCTTTGCCGTTGCCGCCTTCTACGGAATGTGCAATGCGTGGGCGTGTGGCTCCTGGTTCTGTACTAAGCCCGCTCCACGTAAGTGACTGTCATTAAGCCTAGTTAGTGAGGGGTGTCGTAAATAAACAAATCTGATCAAAAATTCCACGATTTATTTACAGCCGGTGCACAAAACAGCTGTGTTTGAAGGGGTTGCCACCAGGTAAAACTATCTTTTGGACAAGAGCCCTTGGTGGATAACTTGGCTAAGCTGGCCGGTTGCAGCCGAGTTATTCAGAAAATGTCATGCATCGTTAAAGTCGTTATACAATTTCCGAAGAAGTGGCATTCACAGATAAAAAATGTTTTCGCTAAAAATCATGAAAATACAAATATATTTTGGACAAAACTCAAAATAAAAACTCAATCAAAGCTCTTAGAAATAAATGTCCAACACTGGAATGTCATACACTGAAATATGTTCGTCAGCTGGTGAACGCTTTTCGTCAGGCTATTTTTTCACCCCGGTATTCAAAAATTCCAGAAAATTGCATAGCGTTGCCAGTCTGCTGAAAGAAGTTTGGGTGAACGTTCGTCAGGCCCTAGCAAACGGATTAAAAAATGTAATCTTTTGGGGTCTCTGTTGTCAGAGCAAAGTGTTTCGAAGATCAAAAATGGACGTAAAACCCCAACAAAAATCCAGAAAAATCGCCTGCAAGAACTTAGGGCAGCTATGATCTCTAAATCACCAAATAATTATCAGTAATTAAAAAAAAAATATATATTAAATTTAAATTATATTGTTTTCTTATTTCTTTGTATAGCGGAAGACATGCCTTGCCAAAGTAGTTAAGAATATCCCTTAAAGGCTTTTTATTTTTTAATTTCCTCGCTATTTAGGAACTCAATCAAAAACTTTTATATGCAAAAATATTTAAGTCACCCCATACAATAAAAGACTAAAAAAAAAATTAGAAATAAAGTCTTTCCTAGAGTGTGTGCCTAAAGCCGTGTATATAGGTCTATGTAGGGATGGTTAAGTGATGTTACTGGAAAATTTTATAAAAATTGTATCGACAGTTTTTGAGAAAATCTCGTTACAGTTTGTGTACTTTAAACCAATACTTGAACCAATTCGTTAGCCATGGCATGAACCAACTTATTGTTTTTTTGGAATTAAAATTTGTTGCACACGGCAGCATTTCCAATACACTAACCATGGTGAATCGATAGCTATTCGATATTTTAACATTTCGCACAGTTTCTGACGAGGGCTGCATAACAAAAACAGCCATTTCTGAATTTAAATGGAAAAAACAGGGTACGTCTGAACGAATTGTTATAAATAGGACACTAAAGTTATCAGCAACGGAAGGGTTCAGAAGTTCATAGATAAGAAATATATGTATATACCATTGGGTATAGTGCTGTATAGCGTCAAATGTTAAAATATCGAATAGCTATCGATGATTTATTTGATGGTTTACGTCTTGGAATAAAGTTTAATTCACCGACGCTTTCATTTGACGCACACGAATTGTTTAACGATTTACTTATTCAGTCGTTTATGGAATACCCTAAATTAAATTCTGTCATCAATCGGATCTCGGTGTGTGACCGTACGGGGGTGTGTATTTTGTCAGGTCGCCGCGAGGGTCACACTGAAGCAGACCCATATAAAAGTCCCCCCTCCCTCACCAACGAGAGTATTTAAAAGAAAACGCGAGGAAAAGGCTGCTGCGCGTTAAAACCCGAGCGCAATATTATTTTTTTTTACTCTGCGCGCCGTTTACGACCGAAATTTTAGCCAGCACATCCCAAATCAAATAGAATATCACGAATTGGTATTTTTCCTGCTGGCCGAGTTTAGTGAAATTGTGATACATTATTTGCTGGCAACAAACTCTATTCGTGGTGTGTTCATTTATTCCGATTCGACGATTTTCGAGTGACGCCTCGATTTTGTTTGTTTGTTTGCCCACTTACGTGAGCCAAACGGAGGTGAAATCTTGCATTTTCCATTTGTTTACGCCAGCCGACCGAGAGGAAAAGTGAAAAGAAAAGCATCGACGAGGCGAAACGGAGCGCAAAAAGCTATGTGCACATAGCGCACAACTTGCAGATTGAGGCCAAGACGAGAACGCGAAACCAGAGATCTTGACCAGGCAGCAGAAGCCTACGATGGACTGCAGACCGACCAGGTTGCGCGGCCCACTCGCCGGCGCACTCCTGCTGCTCGCGGTGTCCCTCAGCTTGGGCAGCGACGAGCTCCCGCCGCCACGCCCCTCGCCGCCGCCCACCGTGAAGCTCAACAAGTGCTGCCACTCGGGGGAGTACCTGAACAGCACCAGCGGCGCCTGCATCGCCGGCAGCGAGGCCCTGTGGCTGCCCATGGTGTACCTGGTGCAGCAGCAGCGCTTCTTCGAGCCCCACGGCGCCAGACCGCGCTTCATGAAGTTCCTGCCCAAGAGCCGCCCCGCCTGCCGCCAGGACCAGAGGCAGGAGCAGTTCCGCAGCCGCGGCGCCAACGTGATGCTCTTCCCCAACGGCACCTTGTACGTGCGGGAGCGCGGGCTGCTGGTGGAGCCGCAGGACTACTGCGTCGACTGGGAGGTGGCCCTGGTGTGCCTCAACCACACCGCGGACGCCCTGGAGGATGCGGGACAAGCCACTGCCTGGCAGAAGGATCAGCCAGCGCTTCGCCTGCGCAAGTGCTGCGGCAAGTGGGGCAGCTACAACACTCAGCTGCAGAACTGCGACCTCCAGCCCAGCCACCCGGTGGACGGCCTCCTCCGGCTGGCCCCGCAGCTCCCCGAGGGCAGCTACCTGACCAGCTACGGCCTGCCCGAGTGCGCCCGCTCCGGGGGCTATTCAATAGCCGGGGACTGGCAGAAGGCCAGCCTGGATCGGGAGTCGGCCAGTCTGCAGCTGCCGCACAAGAACCTGACCGCCGACCAGTACTGCCTGGAGCACACTCAGCGCCTGGGCGAGGTGAAGATCATTGCCTGCGAGCACTTGTTCCGCGCCGAAGGAGGAGTCGGCGGCGGCCAGGAGGGATCCCCCGGAGCCGCCCTGCACGAAGTCAACGGCCAGAACCTGCAGAAGGCCGTCCTCACGGGGGGCATACTCGTGTCCATATTCTTTCTGGCCGCCACCTTGGTGGCCGGCTTCCTGCTGCCCGCCGTCCACCACGCCCTCCACTGGCGCTGCCAGATCTGCTACATCTTCTGCCTGCTGCTGGGCAAGGTGCTGCTGGCCATCGAGGAGCTGAGCTCCAGCCTGCAGCCGGGCAGCATCACCTGCCTGCTGCTGGCCATCTGCATGCAGTTCTTCTTCCTGGCCGCCTTCTTCTGGCTGAACACCATGTGCTTCAACATCTGGTGGACCTTCCGAGACTTCCGGCCCAGCTCGCTGGAACGCAACCAGGAGGCCCTGCGCCTCTTCCTCTACTCCCTGTACGCCTGGGGCGGCCCGCTGCTCATCACCTTTGTGGCCGCCTGCGTGGACCAGCTGCCGGAGACGAGTCTGCTCAGGCCGGGATTCGGACAGGTGTATTGCTGGTACGACAACCGCAACCTCTCCATCTTCGCCTACTTCTACGGACCCATTGGCCTGCTGCTCTGCGCCAACATAGCGCTCTTCGTGTCCACCACCCACCAGCTGACCTGCGGCCTGTGGAAGCGGGACGATGTCAAGTCATCCACGGAGAAGTCCGCACTGGGCAGGGTCTGCCTGAAGCTGGTGGTCGTGATGGGCGTCACCTGGATAGCGGACATCCTGTCCTGGCTGGTGGGTGGGCCCCACGGCGCCTGGTTCTTCACCGACCTGATCAACGCCCTGCAGGGTGTGTTCATCTTCATCGTGGTGGGCTGCCAGCCGCAGGTGTGGACCGCCTGCCGCAGGATCTTCTGCCCGAGGTTGCGCCACGACATCACCAACACCACGAACGGGGTGCAGCACTCGAGCAGTTCGCAGGGACTGCCCTCGTTGGCCGGCGGCACAGAGATCACCCAGAACACCAGCATGCCCAGCATGCCCAGCAGTCCGGCCCCGGACAGCTTACTACCGGAGGATTCGCCGGGGAAAGCACCGGTCCCCCCCGTGCCCACCGTCAAAATGGAGACTGTCTGCTAAACGTAAGTTGAACACCCGATAGCCAGTGTAATCCCGCAGAGATAGCTCTGTTTGTTTGTTTGGCAAACAAAGCGCTTGCCGTCCCCACTCAGCACAGTTTGCCAAGTGGCTTACAAAATAGGGCTTCAAGCACACACTCACTGATAGACTTATCGGCTTTAACGAGCTCCAGGCCCGGAGCCAGGAATGCAAGGTGTCTCAATGGGCTGTTTGTTCGCCGGTTGTGCCATGCACCATGGCAAGTGCGATCCCATGAAGTACACGTACAGGTGGGCTAATGTTGCAGCTTTGTTCCATCCAAATTCAATCGGATTTAATATAGACAGCTTAAAATACTTGTAATGAGTGATTGGTTTCATAAACCTTCTTGTTTGGAATAGTTGGCAATAGTTTCTCTAAGAACTTGTTTTCAATCTTTTCTCTTTCAATCTTGAGTGCAAACCGTATTTGATTTAAGAGTGTTAATCATGATTTAAAAATTATTAAATGCTTTTTAATGTCGCTTCTCGGAAGATTTTCACATTAAAAAAACATATTTTACTACCCCAGTGTACTTAAAGACTAACTTTGATTTGGAAATTTTTTGTGGACTTGATTTCCTGATAATGAGTAGCATTTACTGTTTAATTTAATGTACTTTTTGACTTGCTATAATCATTAGATTGTTCTTAAATTAAGTAAGAAACGTTTTGGAATTTTACTCATATTTTGAGAGTTTGTCAGATGAATCAAGTGTTTTTCAACACGTTTTAGGATTTATAAAACAAAAATTGTTCTTGATTTGAGTACAAACACACCAAACATTCTTGAAATAAGAATTATCCATTTGGAGCAGCGTTTTTTTAATAGCCTAAATCTATAAAATAAACCAACAAATCGCTCGCATAAAGTATAAAGTATATATAAAGAACACAATATTTCATGTGTGTGTTAAGCTACATATATTGAGCAAAACCGAATTTATGTATAATTGATTAGATCAATATATCATCGGCTGGGTTTTCCGCTAAATGAAATCTTTTCTTTGTATTTATTTCAAATTCACATGTGTGATAATTGCTTTGTATATTGATTTAACCCAAATACCAACGATGTATTTACAAGACGTTGAAGCAAATAGAAAATCCCGGATTTGTCATGGAAATGGAGTGTTTGCGCTGAGAACTTCATGGACCAACCACCAACCACCAACCGGCAAAACCAGTTTAGTTATCTAGGCTAATCTAGGGTTCCTCGGGGGAAGTGGAGCAGACTTTATGTTTGAATACCCTTTGGGTTTCGTTCCATAGGGCTAACCCTATGCCAGTTCCCCTAGGCGCCTGGCATGTCCTTTGGAAAATGCCCTTTGTGTCGCCATTCACGCCCCAGGCGAACGTATTTCATCCAGATGCAATTGCGCACTCCGAGATTCCCTGGCTACCTGGGCCGATTTCGCAACAGGCGCCGGGCAAGAAAAGTCCAGACCGCTTTCTCGCAGTGTCCGTTCCGTTTTATGGGTTTGGGAAAACTCGCGTTGGGCCATCCGGTTGACCATTTGCATGACCGTTTCCCAAATGCTTTACAACATGCGCCAAGTTTACGATTTCGCGTGCAGCACTCGAGTTCGAGAATGTCCATAAAGACTAAAATGTTGCCGCTGTGCCGTTAAGTTTTTCATCGGAAAACTCTGACGCCGGGTCGGCCTGTCGATTTCCTGTCGATTTCCACATGGCCATAAAGTAATCAGCGCAACCCTTGACACACACGCAAGCGGAGATAATGGAAAACCGGGACCGGGACCGGGACCGGATCGTTCCGTTTACGTTTACGTTTACGTTTGCTTTCTGGCATCCGTATCTGAATCCGAAAGGGAAAATTGAGTTTAAATTGGACGACGGGCAGTGTGATAAGAGCACCGCACCGCACCGGCTCCTCTTGTTTGTGTTTCTATATGTTTTCCCTTATTGTTACTTTGTTGGCTTGCTAGTTTGTTAGTTTGTTATTTGGCTGGTGCTGGTGCTGTTGCTGTTGCCTCAAGTGGTTTTGACACATCCAAAGCGATCCAAAGCAAACTACAGTCGGGCTTCGACACTTGCAAACATAAACTCGAGAAAACTCGGCACCTTCTCTATCATTTATAAACATACCTCAGCTCGAAACGATAAGGGAAGTGAAGTTCTGCACTCTGCAGTCTGGATTTCCACTTCACCCACTAATGAGCATGTTTATGTTTTTACCCAAAATAGATTGGGTAAGGTCAGTGGTGTGGGGACTAGTAGCTTAGTCGCTTGATAGTTCGGATAGTTTCTTTTAATTTAGACACAAAATTTAAATTGTCTTACTGACACTGATAGGAAGACAATATATTAATTTGTTTTAAAGTTTAATGGATTTCAGTAATATAATAGAACACTTCAAAAAACACCGAACACGAAATGATATAATAAAGCTTAGTTACATTTTACAGTTTGAATTAAAGTTTTGGTAAGATAACGACAAGCTAAAACTAGTTAAAAAGTGTCTGGTAATTATTTTATTTTTTAAGTCATTTATTTTGTTATCCAGTTAACGAAATGGAACTTACCTCCTTAACCATTTAGGCTACCTGTGCAAATATTGTTGAAATCTAACGAACTTAATGTCAGTTTTGGCATACATTTGCATATTTTCCTTTCCCAAAGAAATTAATATTTATTTTAAATGCTGAAAATATTAAAACAAAGAGCTACAACTTTTTAAAGATCTTAATTTTGTTTTGTGAGTGTATAGTTGTCGTTTAAAGTATAAAGTTTACTGTTGCAAAACCCGGTGTATTTTATTTTGGGTCTTTCAAAATTGTATAGCCTTTTTTGTGTGTGGCAGCTGGTGGTACGAGTTATTGTTGTTCGACTGTATTCCATACCACTCGTGTTTTCGCTTGTTACTTTTGTTTTGGGCCCTGATCGCGTCACTTTTTTGGGATCTGTCCTCTGTCCCGGGAAACAGATGTGCTGCCCGCCGATGAGTGTGTGTCCGAATGCGAGTCCGAGTCCAAGGTTTTGCCCAGCGAAAGAGAAAACAAAACAAACAGTGGGTCTTTGGCCCATGGGCCCATTTCGGGGATTGCGCAACCGAGTTATTTGGCCTGGCCCATTAATCGTGGCTCGCAGGCAATCAGGGGCAATCGGGGGAAATCAGTGGTAATGGGGGAAACCAGTCGCCTTGGGGCTGTGACCTGCATGTGAGTGCGTGTGTTGCAACTGAAAATACACTGCAACTGCAACTGCAACTGCAGCTGCTGTGCCATTTGTGCTCGTCTGCATAATCCCAGGCGGCGTGTCCCCGTCACGCTCATCTCATCACGACGCTGCAAAAACGGAGTCTGCGTTTGTCAGCCGAACTGCAGATACACGGATGCACAGATACGCAGATCCACAGATACGCAGATCCACAGATGCACAATGCCCAGGCAAACTAATTGCATTTACCGGCGTGCGTCGGGCGATCGCCGCCCTCAAATCGGTGCCAAGTGATCGCAGTCCGCCACTTACAGTGAGTGCTGCTCGAATCCACCACTGCATCGCTATAGGACTGGGCCAGCTAACACTGGTGGTGATAAGTAATCATCACAAGAACTAACTGAAATACTATTATAATCAAACAGAAACTGGCATACTGAAGATGGACAAATCAATTTGATTCAAAAGACTAGACTAGACTGTTATCAATAATAAGTCTAGATTTTAATACTATTATTGAATATTAATAATTCCCATTGTTATACGAATTGTTTTCAGATATGTACACACATGCATATGTAACATTTAAACAAAGAGAACTAGTTGCATAGAAAACAAATGATGAGATTAAGGTTTCTGGCTATTTTCAACAACCTTTAGAGCAAACCCAAAATATATAACATTGAATATATTTCTCCTATTACAAATAATAGCTTTAATTTTCTCAGAAAATCTGTTGTTTTGTAAGCACTTTTCCCACACTGATTTTTGGGATCATCAAAGGAACACTTTCTATAATCAGTAATTTCTGAGATTATCTTGTGGGGGTCACAAATCATGATGTGTAAATGAGAGGCTCGTGATCGAAAGGCGTTTTTTTTTTTTTTTATTCATAAATTACATATATAGACAAAATTAATAAATATACATATGATATCCAGACTTGCGGGACTGCCGTGAAGCATTGCTTCGCAAGGCTGGCTGGCCTGTTTAGGACCTCTCGTTCCTTATGCGTTCCAGCCGCCTCAGTTCCGTCGTGACTTCCGCAGCCAGACTGCATACAGCTGTCCAGTTATCCTGACTCTCCAGCATACTAGGAACAAGTCCCTCCACTGTGATAGGGGTCCCCAGGATTTGTTCAGCTCTTCGGCGCTCTTCTCCGAACCTGACACATGTGGTTAGTGCGTGTTCGGCATTTTCCACTGTTCCGCAGGTATCGCAGATTTGGCTTGTCTCGTGTCCGAAGCGATGTAAATACTCCTTAAAGCATCCATGCCCGCTCAGCACCTGTGTCAGATGGAACGTTAGTTCGCCGTGTGGTCTGTTTACCCAAGCCGCTATATTGGGGATGAGTCGGTGCGTCCACCGGCCGGTTTCTGCCCTATCCCATCTTTGCTGCCAGTTTTCAAGGGACTTTGTTCTTGACCTTAGTTTTGCCAAGCGGTGGTCCGCCTGTGTGTCAGCTAATTTTCTCGCTTCAAAGTTCTCCTTGGCCTCAACAACTGCGAGCTCGACTGGTGTTATACCACTGATGACCAGAATGGCCTCTGTAGCGACCGTGCGGAAGGCGGAGGCTACCCTAAGAGCTCCTATTCTGTAGTCCGACTCTATACCCTTTATGTAGCTCTTTTTTGTTGTCGCCTCGGCCCATATTGGTGCTGCATACATGATGGACGACTTTGCTACGTTAAACAGTAGCTTCCTGCTCGTGGATTTTGGGCCTCTATGGTTAAGCATCATTCGGGACACTGCCATCGTGACTCCGTGAGCCCTCTTATGAGTCGCCTGCAGGTGCTCCCTGTAGG